TGTATATTGTCTCCCTGCTTATTTAACTTATATGCAGAATACATCATGTGAAAAGCAGGGCTGGCTGAATCCCAAGCCGGAATTAAGATTGCCGGAAGAAACATCAACAACCTCAGATATGCAGATGATACTACTCTGATGGCAAAAAGTGAGGAGGAATTAAAGAACCTCGTAATGAGGGTGAAAGTGGAGAGTGCAAAAAAATGGTCTGAAGCTCAACATCAGAAGAAGAAGAAGAAGAAGAAGAAGAAGAAGAAGAAGAAGAAGAAATAATAATAATAATAATCATGGCCACTGGTCCCATCGCCTCCTGGCCAATAGAAGGGGAAGATATGGAGGCAGTGGTAGATTTTACTTTCTTGGGCTCCATGATCACTGCAGATGGGGACAGTAGCCACGAAATTAAAAGATGCCTGTTTCTTGGGAAGAAAGCGATGACAAACCTAGACACCATCTTAAAAAGCAGAGACATCAGCTTGCCAACAAAGGTCCACATAGTCAAAGCTATGGTTTTTCCATAGCTGGGCCATAAAGAAGGCCAACCTCCAAAGAATTGATGCTTTTGAATTGTGGTGCTGGAGGAGACTCTTGAGAGTCCCCTGGACTGCAAGGAGATCAAACCTATATATTCTGAAAGAAATCAACTGTGAGTCCCCACTGGAAGGACAGATCCTGAAGCCGAGTCTCCAATACTTTGGCCATCTCATGAGAAGAGAAGAGTCCCTGGAAAAGACGCTGATCTTAGGAAAGTGTGAAGGCAAGAGGAGAAGGGGACGAGAGAGGATGAGGTGGCTGGACAGTGTCATCAAAGCAACCAACATGAATTTGACCAAACTCCAGGAGGCAGTGGAAGACAGGAGGGCCTGGCGTGCTCTGGTCCATGGGGTCACAAAGAGTCAGACACAACTTAACGACTAAACAACAACTGTTATAACCAGTAACAACAAAATGCTTCATTCTGTCCATGCTGGTGTGGACTTAAAATTTAAAGTACTGTCCGTCTCCTTCAAAGTAGTCTGATGCATCTTGCCTTTAATTCTGCAAACTGAGCTTACAAGGCTTAGTGATGAATGTTAGACATGTATTGCTAAGAATCCTAAGAAAAAGTTGTGTTGGGAGAAGGATTTAGAATTAAGAAATAATGGGAGATAGTTTGCTTAATCATTCTCTGGTTGTCCCTTTGTCATTCAAAATCTTTTCCAGCTGTTGGTTCCAAATATATGTACATGTCTCTGTATATTTATTTATTTAAAATATGTTTACCCTTTCTCGTAAAAAAGGGCCCAGGGTAGCTTACGTTATTGAAAATGACAATAATTAAAAGTTAAGAACAGTAAGTTATACAAATATTTTGAAAGAATGAAATAAACATATAGATATCCTTAGGCATGTTAACATGGGGAAGGACCTGGCATGCAAGAAATGTGGAAGAAAGATGTGATGAATAGTGAAAAGATTATGCGCCCTTCTCTTCCCTGTAATTTGAAATCCCACTCCTAATGCTGACATTTCCCAAGATCTCTATATATATTCTTCCTTGTACCCTCAGGTAACAGCAGTAATAGAACTTTACAGGGAGAACTGAGGGAGCCATCTCTTATTACTGACATTATAATCAGTTGTCTTTAGGAACTCATAATCTCAAATCTAAGAATTCGTTTGAGTCAAGAATTATGATGCATTTTGTCTTACAGACCCCAGTAGGATATGCACAAGATGCACTTCCCATCTGAGGTGGAATTGTAGCACACAAACCCAGATTAGAACATCTATAAGCTTTGTCCCTCTAGAAGGGATGGGTGTGTGTGTGTGTTTTTCCGGCACCATTGACCTCCCAGATCTTTCCTTCTTGTTGTTGATTTGTTTAAAAAGGAAGGGAAAGAGGTAGCTGTGTGGTCCTCATGGAAGCACATTTGGGAAGCAGAGGAAAATTTGCTGTGATGACCAGAATCTTACTGAAGAAAATCACACACATTAAGTATATTAGACAAGCAGTTTTATCCTCTTGCTGTCTCTCACATGGCAAGTGATTGTTTTCTTGATCAGATGATGCAGGGAAATGGGCCATGGTTGCAAGCTACACAGGTCCACAAGCAATGTCTCACTTTGATGGCCAGTTGCAATATTTTCTCATAGCTTGTGCCACCCTCTCCTGAGGGTGGTGGTGTCTTTTGTAATATCGAGCTGAGTTAATCACAGATTCAGAGCTTTCCAAATCCAAGTATCTTGTGTAAAAATAGAAGTCCATTAGGTAAAGGTTCCCCTTGACATTTAGTCCAGTCATGTCCGACTCTAGGGCACGGCACTCATTCCTGTCTCCAAGCCATAGAACCAGCGTTTCTCTGTAGACAGTTTCCATGGCTGTTACCTTCCCACTGTGGTGGTACCTATTTATCTACTCACATTTTTACATGCTTTCAAACTATTAGGTCAGCAGGAGCTGGGACAAGTGATGGGAGCTCATTCCGTTGTGTGGATTCGATCTTATGACTGCTGGTCTTCTGACCTTGTGGCACAGAGGCTTCTGTGGTTTAACCTGCAGTGCCACCACATCCCCATTACCTTATTTTAATAATATTTTGGGTTAGTACAGTAAAAATCCTTTGAACAGCACAATGCTATATATGACTGCTGATGCTTATGATCTCTTCAAACTTGAAACATAAGAATTAACATCACTCTTACATTAGTGCCTGTCTTTCCCAGGTCTCTATTCTGTCTGCAATGGAGTTGATCTGGAATCTCTGTGAAATCATGTTTATCGAAGCAGCACCAGGTAAACATGGGATGATGGTGAATCAAAATAACATAGTGCTTTTCCCCTCACTTTCTTTGCCAAAAGCTGCTTTCCCCCTTGCAGAGCGGAGGGGGAAAGCAGCTATTTGCAAAGAAAGTGGAGGGGGAAAGCACTTTCCTCTCAAGAAAGTGGAGGGGGAAAAACGAATATTCCTCTCAAGAAAGTGGAGGGGGAAAAACAGATAGCTTTTCCCCTCCATTTTCTTGTGAGGAAAGTACTTTCCCCCTTCACTTCCTTTGCAAAAAGTGGAGGGGGAAAGCAGTGGTCAAAGTACTTTGATCCTTCCCCCCCTCCTTACTTCTGTGTATAAAATGACCCTCAATTTGTCCTCCAATTATTTTAGGAAAATGTGGTGTTTTATACCCTGAAAAATGCCGAAAATGTGTTGTTTTATACACTGAAAAATGCGGTGTATCTTGAATTGGCACATGTAATTATAATTTTTTTGTCTCCTGTTATTCAAGACATATTGAAAACGTACTAAAAAAGTTCTGAGCTCATATTTCATGCAAAATGTGTATAAAATTGTTAAATTAACAGCAATGATATAGGGATAGAATTCAGTAATCTTTACTGCTCTGCACCTTACTTGTAGCTTTAAAAAAGACCAGTTTGAACAAGGCTTTTTTAAAACTGTAAATTGCTATACAGTGGTGCCTCAGACAGCGAGGTTAATCCGTTCTGGATTAACCCTCGCTGTGTGAAACATCGCTGTACGGAAAGAAAAAAGCCATTGGAATGCATTAAACTTAGTTTAATGTGTTCCAATCGGCTGATTTCCTCACTGTACAGCGATGTTCCTCTATGGCCGGCAGCCATTTTCGCGCCCTCCCCTCGCTGAACGAGGGCACCAAAATGGCTGCGATCAGCTGTCCGGCGGGTCCAAAATGGCCGCCGGAACAGCCGAAATGGCCGGCCGCAGCATTTTCGCGCCCTTGGTAAGTGAGGGGAGGGCGTGAAAACGCGCGCAGCCATTTTACCTGTTCCGGCAGCATTTTCACGCCCTCCCCTTGCTTACCAAGGGCGCGAAAACGCTGCGGCCGGCCCTTTCGGCTGTTCCGGCGGCCATTTTGAAGCCGCGGAACAGCTGATCGGCGGGTTGCAAAGCGAAGGTCGGTAAGTGAACCGCTTACCGACCTTCGCTCTGCGATTTTCGCCTATTGGGGCCATCGCTCTGCGATCGCATTAGCGATCGCAAAAGCGTCACCGTAGAGCGAATTCATCGCTCTACGGGGCGCTCGTTCAGCGAGGCACCACTGTATGTGCTTCTTAGAGTCCCTACTTTGGACTTGAGGAGCTGATCAGGGGATGACAAGCTAGCAAAGTTCAGGGCTACTGTACCACCGGTTCAGGAGCCAAGTCAGATTCTTGATACTGGACCTAAGGCTAGTATTAAAAAGTTTGTGAAACATGAGCCAGAATTTTTTCATGAGCCATGTAAATCAGATGCCTTCCACTACAATGCAGGGAGTGTACTAAATGGGGGTGGAGGGTGTCCAGAGAAAAGTGGTAAAGCAATCCCCTTCAGACTACGGAGTCAAATCCTCAAGCAGTCACACTCTTTAGAGGAGCTTAGAAGAGCCTTGACTCCATGAAGGAACTCATAAAGCCTCAGTGTAACCCTAGCCTTGGTCGGAACGAGTTGATCACCTAAAGCTTTCCATCGTGCTGCCTTGCCTTGTGGGGACCTGCTGCAGAGAGTTGAGTGCAAAGAGTGCTCTCTTTCGCAGTGAATAAATGTGCTCTCTTTTTTTACCAAGCTGTATCTTCTGTGTAGGAAATGCACCTGGCTTGAAGTTGCCAGATGTTAATGGGCACAAATCCCTGTGAAAAAGAGTCATATCCTCCAAGAATAATCGCTAGGACACAACAGACAGTTTATAGAAATGTCCCTTTTTTTCTTCTCAGCTGGTTCTCTTCTGTGCCACCTCCTTGACTGGGTTCGTCTTCATGTATGTGACGTGGATAACATGGTTTGTGATGTTTTGAGAAGTGAAAGTCCGGCAAAACATGAAAACTTCTGGAATGTGGTAAGTGAGGAATTTTGTGGCCCAGCAGGTGTGTGTGTGGTCTGTGCTTCTGTATGTGCTTGGAAATGTCTTGTTGGACCCAAACCAATGAATTGATAGGAAGGTGTGAGAGCCCTTCATTTTAAATCAGTCTGAATGACCTGGGTGTGGGCCACCTGTAAGTATCAAATGAGAAATTGGGCATGCTAAATGGAAATGTTTGAGGCAAATTGTCCACAGAATAAGTTCAGAGGGCCAAAATTAGGATTTGATTGTAGCTCTGTAAGTGGAATACATATAAAATCAATGTGCACTGCATAACTGTGTTGTAACTGGGAGCAAATATCATAACAATGGTTAGGGGTGGTAATTTAGAGGTGGTGGGGAGTACTTTTTCCCACAATTTGGCAGGAACCCCCCCAGGACAAATTATGGAACTGGAAGCCATTAAGACAGCAGGAGAAGCCCTCTTTACCACCACAGCATTCATGTGCTGCTGCTTTGTGCCCTCTGTAAAGTACTCCAGACACCTTTGTAAGTCATGAGGAATCCATACCTGGGGGGTTCCTGCTGAATTGTGGGACTGGGTTTTCTTTTTTTCCTGGAAGTCCCATCCTTTTTTTCCTGGAAGTCCCATCCTTTTTCCTGGAAGTCCCATCCTTTCAGCCATCAAAGTTATCTATATTAGTGTATCTTTGTGTTTGCTGACATTAATTAGTCCTGTTTGTCTTGTTGGAAATGTTCCTGTAGCTTTCTTTTTATAAATTTCACTGGCAAAATCCTGTTGCTCAGTTGCACAAAAGACATAATTTTTATTAGTGAGTTGCCTTAAATTAAGATGTCTCCGTAGGCATAATCTATTGCATACTGAGTCACAATTTGCTGCTAAAAGTTACACCTTTTGTGTAATGGTGCAGTTGGATGTTGGCCTATACAAATGTATGCTATGCATATGTATACATAGCAGTTTGGGTGTTAGTGTCAATATAGTTTATTTCTCACCTTTAATTTCATATTGTGCCGGAACACATCTTGTTTTTCAGATCACGATTTTAGTGCTTCAGGGTCGTATGGATGAGGCTCGACAGCTGCTCTCTAAAGAAGCCAGTACCAATCCGACTTCAGTGAACATGTGCAAAATTTTAGATGAACTCATGAAGAAGATGCCTGTTCCCAGTGTATGTAGGCTGAAGGCTTCTCTTAGTGTCTTGTCTGATTAGTGTCATCTTATCATTGGATTAAACAAACATTTAAAATTGCCCCATTTTGATGGAAATTTCTCTGAAAATGGAATTTGCATGAGTTTAGAGAGCTTTCTTCATCAAGAGAGAAAATTGCATGTCTTTGCCTGTTCTTTTCCAGCATGGCAGTGCCCAGACTTTGACAGAGTTGGAGTTGAAATGGCAGCATTGGCATGAGGAATGTCAGCGGTTCTTGAATGACAGCACATTTGCTTCTAACCCTCACATGGAAACCCTCTGCAAGGTGTGTTGGAGCTAAGAATGGAGGACTGTGGGTGAGCCAGTGAGAGATCCAAAGCAGTTTAAAGTGTAAGGTGTTTAATGGGTGTTTCATGAAGCATTAAAAGAACATGGGTGGGGAATGAATTATTTAAATTTGTTTTATTTCAGTCGTGCGATGTGATCTTGCAAGAGTTTACTGATGCCAATCCATTGGTATATTTTGTTCTCCTCTGTTTGTAAGAGAGTATTAGCCCAGTGAATAGTGTAGGGCTAGGTGTGTTTCAGGTGGGATATGTCTGGTTCAATGAGTCCATGTTCTGAAGTTGAAAAGACCCAAGACAGAGGCAGTAAAATAATAGAAATTTTGCTAGCGCATGTAGGTTCTAACATGGGACAGCTTACAGCTGCTTATCAAGCGATCATAATTGCTAAAAAATTGTGTTGCTAGCACCGACATGAATTTGATGATCACAAGCATGGTGTCTTGCACAGGAGCAGCCCCAAGCAGTGTTTGTGTTAGACATGCATTAGTTGTGGTTCAGAGCAGTGGCCCTCAAGCTTTGGTGCTCCAAATATTTTGGACGTCATATTTCAGAAGCTCTCTAGACATTGTGGCCAAATGTTATGGATTCTGGGAGTGGAAGCCAGAGGTTGAGAGCCAGTGGCTGAAATCCACTAGTAAGTCGTAGCTAGAGCAGAACTGTTGAATCAGTGGAGATTTGGTGAGTCAACTTTGTAAGTTTCATTGATTTAATGGGTCTACTCTATTAGCAACTTAATGTTGGAGAGAGTTAGGGGCCAACCAAGAAATTTCTTCTGGTAGTGCATTTGTTGGGAGGACATTTTTCTTTCTCATTATAACCAGATTCTTTTGTTGTAGAAAAATCAACATTGTTTTGTCCAATTCATGCAACTATTGTAATCTACGATTGTGTAAAGTGTGGTTGTATGTTTATCATGGATACTTCTTGGCTGACACCTGTGATACCGTGGTGACATGTGATACCTCCTGAGCAAAGGCTTTGCTATTCTGTAGACTATTAGAAGGACGTTTAAATCTTCAGAGGTTTTTGGAGCATTCTTATCTCTTTTCAAGTCATAGGAGGGGAAGAATGCACCAATAGCAGTTGATCTTGGAGAGCTGGTATTATTAAGGTATTAAAAGTTTTCAGATCAGGTTGCTTTTATTGTATTCTTCTGCCCTGTGCATGTAGTTTTGACTGTGGCAGATGAGAAGGAACCGCCAATCAGGTTCATCAGAAGTTCTGGCCATTTTAAAAGTCTATCTTTTGTTGTTGTGTTCTTTTCCCTCCTGCAGAGCTGGAAAACATTATTTTTAAACGTTCACAAAAATGAAATATTACATATATTAGTATTACAGTGGTGCCTCGCATAACGATGTTAATTGGTTCCAGAAAAAAAAGTTATGTGAAAACATCGTTATGTGAAGCACCATTTCCCATAGGAATGCATTGAAAACCAGTTAATCCGTTCCAATTGGAACGGATTATCCGGTTTTCTCTCTCCCCCCGCGGCTATTGCCCCATTTTGATGGAAATTTCTCTGAAAATGGAATTTGCATGAGTTTAGAGAGCTTTCTTCATCAAGAGAGAAAATTGCATGTCTTTGCCTGTTCTTTTCCAGCATGGCAGTGCCCAGACTTTGACAGAGTTGGAGTTGAAATGGCAGCATTGGCATGAGGAATGTCAGCGGTTCTTGAATGACAGCACATTTGCTTCTAACCCTCACATGGAAACCCTCTGCAAGGTGTGTTGGAGCTAAGAATGGAGGACTGTGGGTGAGCCAGTGAGAGATCCAAAGCAGTTTAAAGTGTAAGGTGTTTAATGAGTGTTTCATGAAGCATTAAAAGAACATGGGTGGGGAATGAATTATTTAAATTTGTTTTATTTCAGACATGCGATGTGATCTTGCAAGAGTTTGCTGATGCCAATCCATTGGTATATTTTGTTCTCCTCTGTTTGTAAGAGAGTGTAAGCCCAGTGAATAGTGTAGGACTAGGTGTGTTTCAGGTGGGATATGTCTGGTTCAATGAGTCCATGTTCTGAAGTTGAAAAGACCCAAGACAGAGGCAGTAAAATTGTACAAATTTTGCTAGCGCATGTAGGTTCTAACAAGGGACAGCTTACAGCTGCTTATCAAGTGATCATATTTGCTAAAAATTGTGTTGCTAGTACCAACATGAATTTGATGATCACAAGCATGGGATCTTGCACAGGAGCAGCCCCAAGCAGTGTTTGTGTTATACATGCATTAGTTGTGGTTCAGAGCAGTGGTTCTCAAGCTTTGGCGCTCCAGATATTTTGGACGTCACATTTCAGAAGCTGTCTAGACGTTGTGGCCAAATGTCATGGATTCTGGGAGTGGAAGTCAGAGGTTGAGAGCCAGTGGCTGAAATCCACTAGTAAGTCGCAGCTAGAGCAGAACTGTTGAATCAGTGGAGATTTGGTGAGTCAACTCTGTAAGTTTCATTGATTTAATGTGTCTACTCTGTTAGCAACTTACTGTTGGAGTAGTTAGAGGCCAACCAAGGAGTTTCTTCTGGTAGTACATTTGTTGGGAGGACGTTTTTCTTTCTCATTATAACCAGATTGTTTTGTTGTAGAAAAATCAACATTGTTTTGTCCAATTCATGCAACTATTGTAATCTACGATTGTGTAAAGTGTGGTTGTATGTTTATCATGGACATTTAAGGAGTTTTTCTTCTTTGTCCAATAGATTTTACTTGGAGACGAGAAAACCATTTTAGAGAAGAAAGACCTCCTGACTACATGGTACCATTTTCTGGTAACCCGGCTCTTGTACTGTCACCCTACCGTGAAGCATGTGGAACTCCATCTCTATGCACAGGTGAAATACAAAATAAATTCGCTATTTTGCCAGTTGCACTCTGTTAGCCATGCAAGCAGAAAGATAGCTGAGAGTGATACCCCGAGCTTTTTCTCATCAGGCTTCTCATTACAGAGGGAGGAGCAGTGGTGGAAGCAAGTGTACAAGACAGTCCCATTCATTCCTCCTTCTCATAAGAAGTTCAAGTAGCAGCAAATTTAAGAAAGCTTCCACGTTGTTATCATATTGCAGCAGGTAGCATTGGGACAAAAACAGAGCTGTCAACACATTTAATGACTTTGCTAACCCTGATTCAGGAAACCCTGCTGCTGCTTTTGCCTTTAATACTTACAGTGCAATCACAGTATGGTCGAAAAAGCTGTTGAATGTACATTTTAAGTACTGTAATATGCTTGTCATTTTATTCTCTTAGGTATTCGCCCACCCCGTGTGTTACTGAAAAGCATAGCCAAGGTTGATGCAGGTACATACATCCTCCAGACTGAGCATGTTGTATCTTTTTGTGTATTCTACAGTCCAGCTTAGATATGTTCCTGGGAGGAGAGAGCAGCCCTGAGCCTTTAGACATCATCTTGCTGGCAGCCTTTGAATTTGATATCCATCAAGTCATTAAAGAATGCAGGTGACTCTCAGTCTTTGTTTTGGGGGCACCTGTTATGTGTCAGAATCACAGTCTGGCATTTGTTTACGGGGCAAAAGTCTTGTGAATATAAAAGCGGGGTGCATAAAGAAAGGAAATTCCTTTTAAAACAAAAACGTAGTGGACAAAAGCATGCACAACAGTAAATGTGATTCTGCCAGACACGAAGAGGTCTGTCAACTGGAGTGAAAGGAAGACCGTTGTTTATCCGAGAGTGAAAAATTTACCAGCATGTTTTAAATGATAATATTTTGTTTCTTTCTTTGCATTCCTTGTTTGTACAGCATTGCCTTGAGCAACTGGTGGTTTGTAGCTCATCTGACAGATCTGCTGGACCACTGCAATCTTCTCCAGTCTCACAACCTTTAGTGAGTCCTCCTTACTTTGTTCTTAGTTCCTCTGTGCCTGATGCTGCCTAAGAAGTTCTCTAGTGGTCTAGCAATTCAAAGAGAAAATACTTAATATCAAAAGTAGCCACAAGGATAACTCTTAACATTCAATTTGTAATACTGATTTTTAATGTGTTTGTTTGCTTTTAAAAGATGCTTAGTTTTAAGCTGTCTTTAAAAATATATGTTATTAATACAGTATTTGTGAAACACTTGGGAGAGGTCAAAGTGCTTCATATGGGATTATCTTGATAATCATACAAGTGTTCCATAAAATAGGCACATATTAGCACTTTTTTTAGATGTCGAGCCAAGCTTAAGGGAACAGTAGCTTGCCTAACAACCATCTAATGTTTTCATGACTGGGGAGATACTCGAACTGGCCACTTCTAGCTCACAATCCTGGTACCTCCTGTTAGTTCTTAGAAACAACATAGTACTACTAACATTCTTTCTGGTATTTTGTTCATATTAATCATGCAATGCAATGCTGCCTTTTTTTAAATATTCCAAACAGTATGGTTATATTTTAAACTCCCACTATAGTTATGTGCTTTCTGCCCAGAATAATTTTTGACATTGCTGCATCCCTTCCAAGAACTGTGGTTTTTTTTCCTGTGAAAAAGGTAGCTTTTTATTTTATTTATTTTGGAAGAACGCAATTCACATTACTCATAAGGAAAGATAAAATCCTGTTGTGGAATGTATTTCTGCATATCTGGGAAAGCTGTGAAAAGCAGAAAGCACGAATTTCAGATTTAATAATATCTCAGTCTCACTTTCCCTTGTTATAAGAGCAGAAAGGGAGAGAGGAATGACAAACAGGAAAAAGAAAAACAGTAGCAAAATATGTCTAGATTAAGATTGACACTCCTTGGATCTTAAGGTGTTACTACTTTTCCTTTATTGGAAAAAGTCACCACAGGTTAGTGCAAAAGTGTGTTCTTCTTTTATCTGCAGAAGGACCCAGTTGTGCTCCTCCATGAAAAGGACCTTTGCTGGGAAGAATTGCATGAAAATCTCTGGCTGACAGCTTGGAGAGTCCTGTTAGTGGCAATAGGCAGTGCAGTGCAGATGCAGACAGTGCAGATGAAATTCAGCTTGGAGAGTCCTGTTAGTGGCAATAGACAGTGCAGTGCAGATGCAGACAGTGCAGTGCAGATGAAATTAGTGGCCAAAATCATGTTGCTTAGTGTAGTAAATTGCACTAAATTAGGCCCACAATCCATGGAAATTTAGTGAGTCCTGTTGCTTAGTGTAGTAAATTGCTCTACATAAATTAGGCCCACTTAATCCATGGAAATTTAGTGAATCAACAACTGTAAGTTTTATTGATTCAAATGGTCCTACTGTAACTATGACTTCCTTTAGCATAGTTAAGTTGCAGTTAGAGTAGGCCCATTTGAATCAATGGAACTCATGGAGGAGTTGAGTCTCCAAATCCCAATAGATAGGAGTACTAAATGGGCCTACTTTAGTGCCACTTACTATACTAGGCAACACATTTTCGTCCATGTGTTTGAGCCATAGGGTAATTTTAATGTGCAGGTAAGCAGGAGAAAGAGAAATTTCCTTTTTAAAATGTTCTTCATGGAACAGAATGGAATTTATTTTAGCTTAGATAAATATCACTTGTTAAGAACAATTTTATTTATGAAAGATTTGTGAATCCTTAGTAATAATTCAGAAGTGATGTTGACACAGAAGGAAATGGGCTTGAGATCTTGAATAATAAAAAATATTGTATCTGTAGTAGCCTTACATTTGATGGAAATTATCGCCTGGTAGTAGGAAATCTAATACAACATGTTCCTCTTTCAGCTTTGGTTCCAATATGCGTGAATACCTCCTGCTGGAATATGCTTCTGGACTCTTCTCTCATCACAGGTAACATCTCTTTTCTTTTAAGTCTTGCCGTGGGGTGGCAAGGCAGGAGCAGGACATCTGTTTAGAATAGCAGTGTTCACCCTATGGCTTCTCGGTAGAGTCTAGCCAAAGGTCTAACCCTAACCTGAAGGGTCTCCGGCTGCATTCATGACAGTGTTGGCTTGAACACGCAAAGGTTTTACTTGAAAATGACACCTCCACTTCCCTTGCTATTGGGTTGGAGAAATGGTGCATTTCAGACGGGTGAGCCCTCCTGATGTTTCTTGCATTAGGAGATGTGTAAGTAGGGAAGAGGAAAATTTGACTTCATTCTGAGCTGTCCAAGCAAACAAGGAGGTGGAGGGAGGAATTGAGGGTAAGTGGGCTATTACTTTCTGTGCTCAGGCAGTTTCTTATAGTGGATCTTTTGATGATTAGGCACAATGAATGAATATGGCGCCTGGTTCAAGTTGCTGGTCAAATGTAGTGACTGATAAGGCTTAACAGGCCAGGGATTCTTGGTCATAATGGCTCTGATTTATTTCAAACCAGTTGTGAGTAACTGTAATGGAAATAAATACCAAAAATAGTTATGACTAAGCTAAGTTCCATTTGTTTAACAAGGCTAAGTCATTTTCAACTGTATCTAAAGCGGGGCTGCTAATTGAACTTTTCAAGATTTAACCACACACAAAAATACCCTTTTGTGTTTCCTAACTGGGTTCTAATTTATTTAAATATTTTAGGAAATGCGATGCTATCATTTTTACAGCTTTTGGAAACTGTAAAAGGAAAATTAATTAATTAAGTCGAATCAAATCAAATTCTCATAATTTACCGTGTGGGCAAGAACAAGTTTTAGTGCAGCAGGCACACAGCCTATAATTCTATATTGCACAGATGTTCTTTTTCAGAAGCTGCTCCTACAGAACACAAGATACTTTAAACAAGAATTTCCTTGAAATAAACATGAGAGGCAATGTTTCATAAAAGATATTCAGAAATTATTTCAAATTAATCTCTCATTTTGCAAAGTTGTCTCACTGAAGTGCTTTGGGGTTCCCTAGGAACAGTTTCTGTAAAGGAAGCTGTAAAAAGACGGCAGGTGTTCACACTTTTCTCCTGTGTTTGTGTTGTGCTGCTGTAGCTTTGTGTATTTTAGTAAGGAAGTCTGTGGCAGCTGTCTCCTGAAAAAAAGCCGTGGAGTCATTCTTGTTCCTCCTTTGCAGTTTATGGCAACTTGCAGTAGACTATTTCGACCACTGTCCAGCATATGGCAGAGCCTATTTGGAGCATCATATTGAACAGGTCCCTCTGGACACAGAACGTAAAGCTCTGAAAGTATTGAGGATCTGTGAGCAGAGAATGATGAGTGAACAAGGTAGAACTTGGTGTTAATGTTCAGAATGTAGCCATGTGTCAGTGTAAATGGCAACTGCTGAGTATCCCTTCTTCTCTTTCCCTCCCACACCAGTTCGTAGCATCTGTAAAATCATGGCTATGAAAGCTGTCCGGAACAATCGCCTTGGCTCAGCTCTGTCTTGGAGCATCCGAGCAAAGGATGCTGCTTTTGCTACCCTGATATCAGACAGGTGAGGCTTCCGACAGGAAGAGATCAGAGAAGGTTTGGGGGAAGTCTGGGTGTTTGAGTACAAAGGTGAAAGGTAAAGGTTCCCCTTGACTAAAGTCCGGTCGTGTCCGAGTAAAGGTTCCCCTTGACACTTTTAGTCCATTCGTGTCCGACTGTTTTTAAGCCGTAGAGCCAGCGTTTGTCCGAAGACAGTTTCTGTTGCCATGTAGCCACAGTGACTAGGGAATGCCGTGTTACCTTCCCACCAAGGTGGTACCTAGTTATCTACTCGCATTTACATGCTTTCGAACTGCTAGGTTAGAGTACAAAACCTGAGCCCAAATTGGCCTCTGCAGGCATGGTAATTGGTGACAGCTTAATGGTTAGAGGTAGATGATGCTTGGTCACATTTGGGGCTTTCTGTATACAAGCATGATAAGATGTGATATCCATAGGAAACACCTTACATAAAGGAATAATACATCCCTGTCAGGCACCTGTTATAGTTGGGAGGAAAGTGCTGTTTTCTATTTCCAGCATATTTGTTCTTAACATACTATTGTTGTTATATGCTCCAGAGTTCTGTCTGACAAGGTGACTGTATGAATTAATAACTTCCAAAAGCTCCTGTCATTGACAGCCCTGCTCAGATTTTGCAAAGTAGAGGCTGTGACTTCCTTTATTTGAATCAAGGCGTCACCTACTTTGTTTTTTCTCTTTTTCTACTGCCTTCAGCTTTCTTTAGCATTATTACATATTTCATTGACTATTGTGCTTTTGTGAATATAGCCAAAGCACAGTGGCCTCTGTTTATTTTAGTCTTTTTAGTTTCTAGAGAGAGCGTTCAGACTTGATTTGATCTAGAATCCACTTGGTGGTCTTTCTGGCAGTCTGTGATAGCTAAATCAGTCTCCTTCAATGCTATGTTCCTAAAAAATCAATTCTGCCCCCCTCTGCACACATCAGGTTTCTTAACAGTCCAGTTTTTCACACCCATGCATAGCAACCAAGAATATGAGTTAATTTTAGCCTGTGGTGATTCATCCTTCCATTTGAGTATCTTTTCTAGTCCCTTCGTAGATGTCCTTCCAAATCTGAGTTGTCATTTTTCTTCTTGGCTGCAGTCTTCATTTGTATTGATGACTGAGCCATATTATGGAAAATCTTTAGCAATCTCACTTTCATTATTGAATGCACAAAAGGTATGTCATTCTCCTATAGTTGGTATTTTTTGTCTTCTCTGTCTTTAGCTATAATCCTGCTGTTGCAGCTCTTTAAGTTTTACCTCTAGTTCTTTCAAGTCACTGCTATTTCTGCCAGTAATAATGTCATCTGCTTATCTAAAAAGTTTTAAGTTTCTTCCACTAGTTTTTACTGTTCCTCATCTCAGTCTAATCTAGTTTTCTATATGATAGGTTCTGCATATAGATTGAACCAATAGGGAGACGAAATACAGCCTTGTCTGTTATCTTTTCCTATGGAAAAGCGTTCTGTTTCTCTATCTTTTGCCTAAAAGTAGCCTCTTGTGCAGAGTATAGTTTGCACACCAGTGAAATCAGTGTTGTAGCATTCCCATTTCCTGATCCATAGTTTTGCAGATATCCTGGACTGTCAGAAACACGAACAAGTAGGTCCTAGAACAAATCAAGCCTGAACTAACTCTGGAGGTAAAAATGATGAAACCGAGGCTGTCCTGCTTTGGGCACATCATGAGAAAGCAGGATTCTGTGGAAAAGACAATAATGCTGGGAGAGGTTGAAGGTGGTGGAAGGCAGGATTCTCTGGAAAAGACAATAATGCTGGGACAGGTTGAAGGTAGTGGAAAAAGAGGAAGGCCAAATGCAAGATGGAATGACTCCCTAAAGGGAAGCCACAGGCTTGAGTTTACAAGAGCTAAGCAGAATTGTTGAGGACAGGACATCTTGGAGGTCACTCCTTCATAAGTTGACCATAAGGTGGAGGTGACTTGACTTTATGGAACAACACAACAGTAACAGAGTTTCCACCATCTATACAGTCAAGGCTTTCCTGTAATCTTAAAAAATACAAACTGATTTTCTTCTGAAATTCCTCAGGACACCCCATTAGCCAACATATATGTGCAACATGATCTCTGGTGTGTCTTCCTTTTCTGAATCCAACTTGAACATCTGGCATTTCCCACTTAGTGTCTCATAAAAGTTACACATGGGACAAAGACCAGGACCTACTCTGCCAGCAAATGGAGGCCACAGTACCACTAGCCGTCTCTCTCATAGTAATCAGATGTGTCAACTTTCTTTTATAGCTGGGGGGAAAAGAGAAAGCCTGTGGTGAACGAGGTGTAGAAACTTGGTTCCAGCTTTCTTAGTCTGTGACAACTCTTCTAAGCCATTTTAAGATGTACTGTAAACCATATGCAAATATGGGGATTCTCCCTCTCCTAAGTGCCAGCTCCAGCTTTTAGACCATGGAAAGTCGCTTGAGGCAGGAATATCTCTGAAACTAGGTGGAGAAACAAAGCACTGTGCTGTCAAGCTACCTGTCTTTTGTTAAGAAAACAAAGGCTTAAAAAGGTATCATTTGCTGTTCCCTTTTCTTTCTTGGGAGGGGGCAGGTCAGAGAATGAGAGCTCTAGTCTTAGTTATTTATATCTTGTGGGGGGTTGTATTCTGGATTGTATTCACTCAGTCACTTCTTTTTTTAAAAAACCCTCAAACTCTTCTAGATACGGGGGGAGGGGTTTCCCTTCACAGGGCATTTTCTAGATTACTGGCCACAATCCTCTTCCTCACACTCGCCGATTAAGTAAAGTGGGAAAAATTGCTGCAGCAAATTGCTACTCAGAAATTGAGGCTTGTGTTTGGCATACAATAAGAAATACAATTGCTGAATAGTTAAGTAGTGGAAGACAGGAGGGCCTGCGTGCTCTGGTCCATGGGGTCACGAAGAGTCGGACACGACTTAACGACTAAACAACAACATTAGTAGTAGCACTACTACTAATAGTACAGTAACTGTGCAGTTACTACTTATGGCAGCAGGTGTAGCTAAGAGGATTCTGGCCATCAATTACCAGACTCTATTACCATTTTTAGGGTACCACTCTATGGGTCACCTTTGTGGCTTTGTATGGGATGGGCAAATCTGCAGCATGTGTGATAAAGCAGTGGCTCACATTGACACCTAGCAGTTCGAAAGCATGTAAAAATGTAAGTAGATGAATAGGTACCACCTCGGTGGGAAGGTAACAGCGTTCCGTGTCTAGTTGTGCTGGCCACGTGACCACGGAAGATTGTCTTCGGACAAAACGCTGGCTCTATGGCTTGGAAACGGGGATGAGCACCACGCCCTAGAGTCGAACATGACTGGACAAAAAATTGTCAAGGGGAACCTTTACCTTTACCACACCCAGACCAGGACATGAATGAGCGAAAATTTATTTGGGTTGGCTTTACCAAAATTCACAGAATTGTGATGCAAGAGAAACTGGCGGAGATGCTGAAACACCAGGGTTGTTGGGTGGGGAGAGGGAGCTCCTTTGTGGGTTGGTCATTCTGTAGATTGCCAAACTCTTAGAAAATTAAAACAAAATAGTTTTTGGGGTATAAAGGAAGCATCTCTCCAATTTTAATTCAGAGAAGACTATGGAACCTGACTCTTGGAAGACTAGAAACACTTCAGTGCCAAAAGGGCAACACCCCTCATCCTTGTAAGCTTTTAGTTTTTCCAGCGCTTGCTTGGAAGGTGAGGATTTGTTAGAATGAAACAGCAGTGCATACATATTGATGGTTACGGTGCCACTTTGGTTTCCCTCTTGCCCCTCCCCCAAGGTTTCTGAAGGAATACTGTGAAAGAGGCAGCTTTTCAGACTTGGACCTCATTGACAACTTGGGACCCTCCATGCTTCTTAGCGATCGCCTGACGTTTTTAGGTGAGTGCTATTATATACAGCATTCCAAAATTGAACAATACAGTATAAGATTATGCCAATAGCAAAAATATTAACTACGGTATATTTTGATGTGCTTAAGGCAGTGAAAATTCCAACATTTCAGAAAACCCGGGAGTGCAACATGTGACAGTTGTCATGCCTTTTTTTTCTTTTCTTTTTTTTAAAAAGATAATACAGTAATAACATTTATTTAAGTAAATTTCTTCACAAAGGCAATCTTTGTTTTAAAGACACCATCACAGGAAATGTTTCCAAATGCACTGGGCCCATATGTCTCTGACTGGTGGCAGCTCAGACTGTTGTACTGAAATTGATTATACTGCTTTTGGCCTTATCACTAATTCATCCAGGTGGAAGTTTCAGTCAGTCATGGGCATCGATATTAAAGTAAGACAATGCAGTTGTGCTTATGATTGTATAAGTCTTACTACTTCTTCACCATTATCAGTAAGAGAATGGCATAGCCAGTGCTCTTCTCTGCTCAAGATAAAGGCACTGTGAGAGCAAAATAAGAGAAATTGATCTCAGTGGAAGTGGTGTTTGTGGAGCAAACAAATCTGGAGTGCCAAAGCTTGAGAACCACCCTTCAACTGCACTGTCTTGATATATATTTTGTTTCCTAATTGAAAGCTGGGATTTTCGGGACTTTGAAAACTGTTCCAATTTACAGAAACAAATAGACCCCCTTAAATGGTAGTGGCTATACTTCCTCTGTATGATAGACCAGGTCCAGTAGCAATTAAGCCTGACTTGTCCTATTGGCATAAATGTGATTCAATCAACTAAAGCAGCTACTGTGCTTATTATGGTGGGTCAATGACAAAGGAATGGCTTTGAGAGCCAGTAGGGTAGTCTTCTGCGAATCTGACACACTTGTCTTGCCATTTGGGTATAGGAAAATACCGGGAATTTCATCGGATGTATGGTGAGAAGCAGTTCTTTGCAGCAGCCAAGCTGCTGCTAATGTTGATGACCGCTCGCATCGCACCATGCTCCTTCTGGATGACCCTGTTGACGGATGCCCTTCCTTTGCTCGAGCAGAAAGAGGCAAGTGTACTGTTTCTGAACAGCAGATTATTATCTGATGGGTGTTGTTTAAGGAATGCACCCTTTACGCTAAAAAGAGTTTGTACTACACAGAAAAGCTGTAGGCCTCAGGAGCTTTCTAGGGTGGGGAAAAAGACCCCAGAGAGCTCCTGGTCTATATTCTGGTCATGGTTCCCACAGTGGGGGCAGATTATGGAGTGCACTCCATGTAGTTGCTGAAACTCCTGTCTGTGGTGTTCACACAGGAGATGAATAGCCAAATGATCTTCCCCTTTGATTTTTTGCTGCTTTGGCTGGGCAGACTTACTTCTCCAAGAGCTTAGCTTTGTCACAGATGGATTCTGTTCACTTTGCACTTGCTATAAAACATAAAGTGCACAATTTCCCTTATGGTTCAGCTCCCCTGTACTAATTTCTCAAGGGACTGTTCTTGCAGCAGGATTGGTTAACTCTGCATCTTTTTCAGGGTTTGGTGAGTAATGCGAATGATGGTTTGTTGAAACCAGTTGTGTCTGGCCCTTACAGCTCACAGCTACCACAAGACGTGAGACTGTTCTAACACCATACCTTCTTGGATGCCTATTACATTGATTGACCTGGAAACTGCAGCTAAGCAAGCCAATCTAAATGGGAACACACACTATAGATGCCTTTTTCAGTGTTTTCTCTCCAGCAGCCACTGAAGTGACATAGTTCATGCTTACAGGTCTGATAGGCTGTGGAGTCAAGGCTTCAAAGTCCACCAAGAAATAAAGGTTGGGAGAAATTTTGCTTGTATGAAAGCAACTGCCATTTTCTTACAGGTGATATTCTCTGCTGATCAGACATATGAATTGATGAAATGTTTAGAAGATGTGACAGCAGCAGATTCAAAAAAGGAGAAGCTCCAGGTAATCCTTTCAAGGCCAAGTGTTATGCTGAAGAACAATGACTGCTTAGAATTGTTGTTGTTTAGTTGTTAAGTCGGGTCTGACTCTTCATGACCTCACAGACAGTCTTTCACTGCCTCCCGGAGTTTGGTCAGATTCATGCTGGTAGCTTCGATGAAACTGTCGAACCATCTTGTCCTCTGATGTCCCCTTCTCCTCTTGCCTTCATACTTTCCCAACATCAGGGGCTGATTGCTTAGAATAGTGGTTCACATGAGACCCCGGATGTTCGTGGGACTACAACTCCCAGAAATCCCAGCTAGCATAGCTGCTGCAAAAGGAGCCGTACGTGACGCCTCCTCAAATACCAGCTTTTTTAGCTAGTGTGAAGGTTTGTTTATGGGGCTCTCCTTTTTCCCAAATAAAACATTAGGCTGTTATGATTCAAACAAATGTTCTTGATTTATTAACATGAGAGCAGGTATAGAAAGATCAACATTTTTTACAACTAACTTCTCTTGCGGCCAGAACGTGGCACGCAAGGGTGTCCATGAACTGTTACTAAACGGGTTAACGTCCTTCAAATCCCACGGTCTAGCCAGCACCTTTTCAGGTTCTTGGGATTCACGTTCTTCTTCGCCAGGAGTTAGAAGGGGGAGGGTCTCCTCATCTCCGAGCCACCCCCATAACAGGGATCCCTCTCCTTGGGGTTCAAGCCACGGTCCGGGAAGCAGCCCGTCTTCCGAAGCTCCTCCAAATGCCATGCCCACTTAGCCTCTTGTTCACGGGAAATCCTTTCATTCTCCTCCCTTATCTTTCTTCACCACTCCTTGGTCTTGGACTCACCCCAATACGAAGGTCTCTGGGACACCCCTTGACGCCTTCTCTTCTCAGCCTCTGCATGAGGCACTCACACCTGCTCCCATTTTCCGGTCCAGGGATCCTGAACCCACATCATCTCCCAACCCCCTGGTATCTCATCCCAGTCTACTTTTATATTCCCCGCTCCCACCTCCACCACCAACTGTTGTTCCTTTCCCACCCTTTCCCAGTCTGTCTGGGTAGCTGCATTTAACCCTCTCTTCTCCAACACCAGATCCCATGTGTCTACCCCCTGATTTTTCCACCCTTTACTCTGGGTGATTTCCTCCAATTCCTGGGTGTCGGTACTTCTGTGTTCTTTTTTAGGAGGAGAGGGTGGTGGGGTGGTTTCTACCCCCTGATTTTTCCACCCTTTACTCCGGGTGATTTCCTTCAATTCCTGGGTGTTGGTACTTCTGTGTTCTTTTTTAGGAGAAGAGGGTGGTGGGGTGGTCTGGGTCTCCCTATTAACCGCGGGGAGCAATGGCACTCCTAGAAATGCTTCCTGTCTTTGTTCTGGGACTCCACAGCTAGCCTTTAGTCATTCATGACAGCAGCTAACAGCTATGTCCAGAGAGCATCTGGAGCCACGTAATTGGGGTGAAAAACAAAAAGAGCTTGGTAGTTGGAGTCTGCTACCCCCTACCCAATCAAGGAGAGGATGTGGATGAAACCTTTGAAAAACAAATGGCAAGGATTTTAAAGAGACACAATGTAGTAGTAGTAGTGGTGGTGGTGGTGGTGGTGGTGGTGGTGGTGGTGATGATGGGAGATTTCAGTTATCCTAATATCAGTTGGGAGGCAAATTCTACCAAGGATGGCCCTTCCAAGAAATTCCTGGCTTGTGTGGCTGATAACTCTGTCCTACAGAAAATGGAGAAAGAAACTAGAGGACTAGCTGTCCTTGACTTGATTCTAACCAATAGAGATGACTTGGTGGGTGAAAGTGACCATGTTCTACTAGAATTCTTGATTTCAGAGGAAACCAAGGCAGAGTGTAGCTGTCACAAAAGGGTGACCACTAGATCTTTTGTATCCCAAGAACATTATTAAACAGCAAAGGCCCTCACAAGACAATTAATAAATGCAAAATGAATATACTTTATTAGCTATTGATTACAATTCTAATAAAAAAGGTTTCATGCATTCAACACATTCACACCACATACATACTCACCAAAGAGAGAAGAATTCTTGATTTGCATCATCCAAGTTCCAAAGAAAGTAGTTAGTTCCAAAAGCTTTTCGGTCTCAGCAGACAAATTATGGTTGCCCAGACCCCTCCTTTTGTATTCTTTTGGGCAGGTTGCTAGCTGAGCATGCACATTAGATGTTTCTTTGTTTCCTTCTAGATATATGGTCCTTATCACCTGTTGTGAAGTATGGAATGCTTAATGGGTCTTCCATCACTTAGTGGACAGGTGTGGAATCTGCTTGCTCAGGAGGACCCTCATACCAGGGTCTTCTTAACTCCCGAGTTTGCTCTACGCCCTCAATTACCGTGTTTCCCCGAAAATAAGACAGAGTCTTATATTAATTTTTGCTCCAAAAAAAGCATTAGGGCTTATTTTCAGGGGATATTTTATTTCTCAGTCATATCTTGTTCTGGTTGCTGCACAATGGTGGAGGGCGGGGTTTCACTTAACTGGGGCTTATTTTTAGGTTAGGGCTTATCTTGTGAGCATCCTGAAAGATCACACTAGGGCTTATTTTCAGGTTAGGTCTTATTTTCGGGGAAACAAGGTAGCAGATGATTTTTTTGTCAACTTACTGAAAGCATAGTTCAAAACTTCCACAGTTCAGTAGTTTAATTTCTTACTATGAGGGCTTACAGCCAAAAATACAAAGTCCCATAGTTCCTCTGGTTCTATTGGTCTCCATCTTTGTGTCCTAACTCTCTGGTTCTTCACCTTATTCCAGGCCAAACATGCACACAAGCAGAGGAATCCAAGAAGGGTGGGAGTTTTAAAGGATATTCTAAAGACATAATTACAGTCAATTAAAAAAAAAAGGCCAGGGTGGCTTCAAAGAAAGTTCAGAGAGGACCTGAAAACAAAAAAGGACACACAAAATACAAAATTATCTAGATGAGCACTGGGCTGAAAACAATAGAATATAATTCAACAGGGATAAGTATTGCACCTAGGAATAAGAAACCAAACACAAAGGTACAAAATGGGGCATACCTGGGTCCACAATACTATGAGCCAGAAAGATCTTGGAATCATCATAGATCACAAGCTTGAATATGAGCCAACAGTGTCCTGTGGCTACAAGAAAAGGCAAATGCTATTTTAGACTGCATTAATAGAAGTATAGTTTCCAAATCCCACAAGGTGCTAGTCCCCCTCCATTCAGCACTGGTTAGGTCTCACCTTGAGTATTTTGTCCAGTTCTATACACCACACTTCAAGAAGGATGCTAAGAAATTGGAACAAGTTCAGAGGAGGGTGACAAGGATGATCAAGGGGCTGGAAACCGAGCCTTATGAGGAAAGGCTAAAAGAATTGGGCATGTTTATCCTTGAGAAAATAAGACTGAGAGGATATATGATAGCACTTTCCAAATACTTGGAAGGTAGTCATACAGAGGAGGGTCAGGATCTCTTCTCGATCATCCCAGAGTGCAGAACGTGCAACAATGGGCTCAAGTTACAGGAAGCTGAATTTGGGTTGAATATCAGGAAAAGACTTCTTAACTGTTAGAGCAATATGACAATGGAACTAATACCTTCAGAGGTGGTGAGTGCTCCAACACTGGAGGCATTCAAGAAAAATTTAGACAACCACCTGACAGTTATCTTTGTATTCCTGCATTGAGCACGGTGTTGGACTCGATGGCTTTATAGGTCCCTTCCATCTTCATCATTCTATGATTCTATGTCTCCTTGCTTGTCCAAGCCTTTTAATGTTTTAGAGGACTACAGGGACAAGCAATGGCGTGTGCACATTGGGGTGTTTGCTTTGTTGTCGTTTTGCATTATACCATCAGTAAAGCAGTAAACTGAATCACAAGAAAAGTTTGTTTTTTAAGCCCTCCATAACTGCTGGAGAGAAATGCCTGTTAAGAAGCCCTGGGAAACATTTCAGCTGTTTTCCACCTTGTCCAGCCTCTGCAAGCAGAGCAAGCCAAGTACAACCCCGGATTTTGAGTAGTCAAAAGACAGAAGGGGCCCCTTTATTAGGCTCCCTTGTTGTTGGAGGGCTGACCTGATTAGCAGCCATAAAGTTCTGAGCACAATGTTGCAATTTTAATTTCCTGCAGATGATGATTTTCAAATGATGAGAAACTGACACTAGACCTAGAGATGGGTACGATCCATGCTTCAGTAGTTTGACCCTGGTACCCACGCAGGGTGTTCTACGGGTGCCACGCACTTCCCTCCCCGACTCCTCCAGGCAATCTCAGCCACTCACCAACAGCAGCACCCTTCCCTCCTCTGCCTCCTCTGGGCGATTGTCCACTCAGACAAGGAGAGAATCCTTTTTGACACTGAGTGAGCAATGGAGTTGAGAGGATATTCAAAATTAAGAATACAGGTTCCATTGGAAAAGATAATCACCAAAATCTGTTTGGAAACAAGATTAATAAAATGGGCAGAGTTGATGTGAGACATGGAGAAGCCTGAAGCTCATTAACAGACTGTTGATGTTTGCTGCGACTTATGGGAGATATATCCCAGTGCCTTGTTAAAACACGGGTTGTTTAGGTTGGAAGAAACCAATTCGGAGTACTATGAAGACATCTATGTGTTATGAATATATATATGTTATACATGGATTTGTCATGCTCAACAGTGGTGTTATCTCCACACCACTGTTGTGTATTTGTAACAGGGATGGCTGAAGTAGAAGTAGTGTGACGGTGTGTGTGCTGTAGATGGGAGGGGTGGGACTGTTGCCAAAACCACCTCTGTCTAGAAAGTTCTCAGAGGTGGCTTTGCACAGACACATCTCCATCAATATGAATGCATACATTCTAGGAAGAAGGAATTACTGGGAAGCCAGAAAAAGAAAGTAACATCTAGGACATGTAATTTAATTTGGTGAATTTTCATTTTTTTTTTCTAGGTTGATGAGGCAGAGACTGTGAAAGTAGAAATGTTGAGACTCGCTCTGGCACGAAACCTTGCACGAGCCATTGTAAAAGAAGGCACATTGGGAGAATCCTGAAAGCAGCTTAGCGTAATTATTTGCAAGCTTTGCTTTATTGACTTGATGTACATACCAGAGATGGAATTTTACAAATAAATGTCATCTTTTGCATTTCTCTTGCAATCTCTTTTCCAGCCAATTTAACTCGTGTCTCCACTGTCCCTTTCTTAGCAATTTAAGATGCCTTAGAATAGCCTTGTAAAACAACCTAGTCATGAGGACCTGCATCTAGTCTGTCAGTCAGTCCTTTCTTAGCAATTTAAGATGCCTTAGAATAAACAGTCTTGTAAAACAACCTAGTCATGAGGACCTGCATCTAGTCTGTCAGTCATTTGTAAAAGATCTAAGTCTGTTCTTGTCCAAGATCAGAGGATGTATTGTATATATTTATTCATTAATCTGAACAATTCTCTACTTTAAAAAAAAACTTTACTAGAAGGGGCAGATGTAATTCTAGTTTTCAAGCAATGTGTTGTCAGTTACTAAGCTTTACAAGAAATTTATAAACTTTAATTCAGCTTCACCTCATAACTAGGTACAGTATGTCTACTGCTTTAGTGTAAACGCTGAGCACTTAGTCACAAGTGCTATTGTTGGAAAGCAAGTATGAGCTGTTGCACCTTATGCTTTAGAAATGAAAAAAAAACACTCCGATGTGAAGTGGCTACAAGACACCTGAAGGAGAGTAGAGAAAGCAATTTTATTGTACATGCAGAAAAACAAATGCTTCTGAGAACATATTTACAACCTTGAGTGTTTGGTAGGAAGCTACAACTTCAGCCTATGAACAAGTAACATTCATAAATAATTTCTGAAGCTTGTAACAGTACATTTCCACACAGCAAGACTATGGGGAACTTGCTAGATTATACAGTAGGGTAGGGCAACACTGCTGATGTTGAGAAAGCCATTCAGTAGAAAGCACTTGTGCTTTTTCCCCTCCTGGTCTCCACAGTCAGGAAGAGTGGCTTGCCTACAGGCAAGCTCTAGCAGTGACACCTCCTCTCTCTGAATAGGTTATGGCAGTGGGGCAGACTTCAGTAGCCTAAGCACAAACCTCACAGTAACAAGGCTGAAAAAGAAGTAGGGACTCTATCAAGAGCTTTTCCACATCAGCTGAACACAACAAATGCAGTCCCCCCATACCAGTCTTCTTACTCATCAGGGTCTCTTCACATAGTTTGTAGCTATATACACCAATCTGATCTGGCCAAAGGTCACTGCCACTCTTTACGTTGTAACTGTACCTTGTACTGACTGAGGAAACAAGCTACTGGAGAAGATGCCTGATGGCTCCACGGTGATTTTAAATCTACTGTGTTACCAGGTAGCCAAAAATACATGAGAGCTGCTGACTGCAGGACTGAGTTCTGAAACACATCATTACCTTTGCTTCAGCAAAACTTTCTCTGCACATCTAAGCAATGCTCCTATTTAGATTTCATTCCACAGATCTTTCTCTGCCTATGATTAACATAAGATTAACTCAGGACAAGAATATACAGTATTTTTTCATAAAAGCAATCTGCTCACAGTTTTTTGTTGAAAGACTATTTAGACAAAAAAAAACCTAATGGTAGATAAGGAGGAAGCAATCACCCAACCAGTGATTCTCACCTTATGGCTCAGGTGCTCGATCATAAATACCAACGATGAAAGAAATCTCTCTCAACAAAGGGGGTCTCTCCTCCTGGAGACAATTGCACTTAGCCACTTAATATTTGGGATAAATAATATACAGGATAATAAATCCAGCACATGCATTACCATGGCTTCTGTTTTCCCTTATCTGCAGGTCTGGCATTTTCCCACAGTTGTATGTACATTTTATATTCTTAACTAATAATACTGCCATCAGCAGGAGAATGAAAGTCTTAGCTGCACCAGTTCTTAGCTTTGACCCTGATTACTAGTTATAACAAAAGTGGATGGATGCCCCTTCTCAGTACTGATGTATCATTATGCCTCCATCTGAACAATGGACAAACTGTCCCTTTATAACTGTTAATACCATTTTAGCTCAAAGGCAAACACAACTATTGAATGCAGATAAAAAGCTGCCACAGGGCTGTGCGCATACAATCTTGTCAGACTCTTGGAAAGCACACATTGCTGAGTCTGTTGAAAGTATAAAACCAAAGGCAACAGCTTGAGCATTAATGTGGCAAATGTAAATACCCAGCTATTCACCCTTTTGGGCTGTGTTGGCTTTAAGGAGAGATGTTGCCTAGAAGATAAAAGAAAAACATGGAGTGACATGAACTTCCTCTTGTGGAGCCTGTGTTATTGCTCTGAAGCCTACAGGTTGTCCTAGTTCTGGCACCAAAGAGGTAAAAAAAACAGCATAGGGACATCCATTAGGGCTCTGCCCCAAAGGAATTAATGAAGGCATCATAGCCCTTGATAGACATCTGACAAGCACTAAAAATTATCAATGTGCTCCCCTTCTGCTTACAGAGCTCTCCAGAATGATCATAGTTCAAGTTTAACAAAGTAGAAGGTAGAACCAGGTAGCCAAGATAAAGCAGCCAGCCACACAGGCCTCTGTTCCTGGTGGCCCACACAAGTTCATACCTGGCATTTATGCCCCGGACTACTTCACCCCAGAGTGCAGGAAACATTCTGGACTAACGCTATAAGCGGAGTGGACAGGACATGTAAACAAAGCTAAATATCACTAACGGATACCGCATACAGCCTTTCCAGTTCACATTCATTCCAGTCTCTGAGATGTCTGGGTCATAGGTTCCCCCACTGTTCAACTGGGGGAAACTGATCTACTTCCCCTGCTTCTGTGCTGGGATGGTCTCCCAGTGTGAAAGTCATTCGGTACCTCAGCCTCACCTTCTCCTGCAATGCAGAAAAAAAACACAGTGTAAGGGCCAGCTAGAAAACACATTAGACAAACTAATGAAAAAAGGAAGAGTCTAAGTGACACCTGGCACAGCAGTCCGAAGTGACAAATGGGAGATAAAGATTAGGACTTGGGAGTAAAATCAAGTTTTAGCAACAATTTATTTGCAAACCAAAGCTTCACATTCTTGGATAAATTTTTAATCTAAAGTTTTCATCCCATTTGTCAGCCAAAAAAGACCGCGGAAGCAGCTGGGAAAGATCAGAAATAGTAGTACCTGTACTGTAATGTCAATAATCACCAACAGTGTTAGCTGCTTTGGGCTGTCTTTTTTTGGGAGGGTGGAGAAGCAGATACAGTACAAGTACACTGAATTAAAGCAATAGAAGCATAACATCAACCCAGAGATGATGAATGTCAAAATGTCCATTCACTCACTCAGTTTTGCAATATCACCTCTTGATTCATTTGCAAAGGCTGCTGGCAGCCAAATACAATGATGCTGCAGACTGGATGTGCTTCACATGCATGCATGCCACAATTCCAGCATCCTTCTAGTTTTGGATTTGCACAGTGAGATTAACGTCACATGGCTTCAAGGCTAATTTCCCAAGACAGGGTAGCAACTGGCTAGTAAAGAAGCCAGTGGGCTCTTTCTCCGGTTGAGTTTGTTCAAGGAACAAGGCAAAAGGCTTGCATCCAGTTGAGTACTTATTAAACATTCAAAGTTTTAAAGTTGAACAAGATGCAGAAGAAAAAAAATGTTGAATTTATGTTCCTCAAGCAAGAGAGCAGTCAGAAAATAACTCTCCTGACATATGGTACATGACATAGCAGTGGTGGGCAATCTTGTAACAGCATTAGTTTTAGATTACATAATGCACTGTGTTGTGGACTGCTGCATGGCAGTAACCTGGTGGAAGGCAGAACAGTGCATATATGCTGATCTTTCTACTTTTCTGCAAATGACTAGCAAGTTAAAATCCATTACCATCAACAGTCATCAGATGCTTCCGGAAGATCACAAAACAAGGAAGCCCATTGCCATGCCCTGTTGCTGGTACATGGCAGCTGATACTCAAAGATTTACTGCTTTGGAACACATAGCAGGGCAAGGAGTCTGTGTGTTCCATCTCTGCACGAGACAACACAGAGCAGAGGCACAACATTTCAGCTTAGCGGCCCACCTTAAAGCGACAGAACCCACCCCACCTCCTCTAAGAAGAAAGGCTGCCGTGGTGAATGCCAGGCCTCTCACCTTCCTAGGATTTGCCAGCAACATGACCTGCGTAATAGCCGCTGGTGGCTGGATAGGACTGAATGGGGCGAGCTCCGTACCTGAAGGCGGCTGCAACTTCACTTTCATGGACTGTGGGCCAAAAAGATTAGAGAGAAGGTAAAGGGTTGTTTGTGCAGGAAAAACAGTTACATGACTAAGTATCATTGGAGAGATGGAAGAGAGTACTGAGCAATTTCCCAGAGAAGTGGACTGGGCCTCAGAGATGCACCAACTGGCATCCCGACTTTCATTTCATTTCATGGGAATAAGAGCCTGCTGGTTTTAATTCTATCCAAATATACCCAGGGGACATATTTGCAACAACAATCCTTGCAAAGTACTAGAAGGAAAAGTGTCCTGCTTTCTCACTGGAAGTGGCTGGACTGCCACCCTCTTTGTCCAAATCTTCCCCCCGAGCCGCTCAGATTCCACAGATGGGGCTCTGATCTCTTTTCCCTCCAACAGAAAGGCAATTCTGACATTTCTCTAGACTGATGCTTGCCAAAAACCATCTAGGCCTCCTTACCTTTGGCACTGCCGCTTGAAGCACCATGTTCTTGATTGGCAGGGGTGCCGTATTCAACATGGATACAACCACGACCAGCACATCAGGCCGCCCAGGTGGACACTCCTTTGCAAAATGTAGTAGGATGCGCAAGCCATTCTTGTCGTAGGCCGTCACAGGAAGAGCACTGCCTACAAGGAATCATAACGTGTTTACATAGCTCAGCAATATATTTGGAATGATGGCGCTGCATTAGGCTTACCATCCAGGATGGTGGGAGTTTCATTACAGAAGTTCTATAGCATCAATTTTAAACCAGATCTGCCTAAGTGCAAATTCTGATGAGACAGGTACTAAATGTAAATGGGGGAAGGCATCAACCATCAGTTTGTATATCTATGTATCTAGACCAGAATTGGTACAGAAGGAGGAGGTGGGGAGAACATGCTCTTCTGACTGACTAACTGACTGACTGGACTGTTCTCACCCATCTAGGGGCAAGCCACTACTCTGGGCAGCTAATAATTCAAAACACATACACACCAAATACAAAACACACAATTGATAAAAACAAACCAAATCTGCAAGAGTGTCATGGGGGGAGAATGTTCTTAAAGGCCTCCTTGAAAAGCTGAGATTTAACCCATTTCCTGAAGTTCAAGAAGGAGGGAGTTTGGTGTATACCTATAAGAAGCACATTCCATAAGATTGCAGCCGCCACTGATTCCTGGTAGTAGTTTTCCCAGTCTCTCTAGGGGTGGACCATCCACAGCTGTGAAGCCTGGATAGAATGGGAGGCCCAGGTAGACCATTTTAAGCAGACACACTCCAAAAGATAGCAAGGTCCCAAAATATTAAGGGCCTTATAAGTTAGTGCTAGAACTTTGAATCTGTCATGGAAGCAAAAAGGGAGCCAATGCCTGCACTCCATCCTTGGGAGGTTCACTATGTATCCATGAGCCTTGTTAAGTACTAGATCTCGTCAGCCAACCTCGATATCAAACTGGAGTTATATAAACCCCATTATATCACGACCACCAGAATACAAGGCAAAAATGTACATTTTCTTAATTTCCAGAATACAGTCCAATGATGAAATGTTGTGAGTAGTGGGGGAAAGAGACAGAGTGCTAAGAGAAAAACAGAATGTACTGTATGGAAAAGCAAATGCTAGAACTCCATGACTTGTATGTCAGGTGACAGAAAACCACAAGATTAACAAGTGTTATTTTGTTCCATTCTTGAGCAAACTGTGGCGAACTACACTTGAATATCTTTCTTGAAATACAGATTTTTTCTTTCAGTAAGAGAGACTCTTGCTTCAGTGTAGGAGAAACAGCGTAGTCATGCAGATTTCCTGCACACTGTTCACAAAATCCACACACTTCCTTGGGACAACAGCAGGCATCAAGTGAAAGAATACCCCCTCTTCCAAACTATTAAAAAGGGGAAGCTTCATCCAACTGAAATATCTAAGAATAAAAGATATTTGACGCCTACTGGGTTTAATGGACTCCAGAGGAACATGGACATTGGCCAAGGAGATCTCAGATCCTCTCACAGGACTTCCTTGCTGCTGGAATGAGGCAGGCTGGAAGAGGGGGCTTCCTGACCCAGACGGGCAGTTGCTTGGGTATGGAATCATAGGCACTCCTGAAGTAGTGACTGGCAATCCTGTGCCAGTTGTCAGAGGTGCAGAAGTGGCAACGGGCAGGGCAGCTCCTGCATGGAACACAGAAGTTGCTCTGTTTGCTTGAGCTGATATTCTGCAGAGGTGGACAGAGAGAGAGAGAGAAATCAGTTAAGGCAGCACAAGAAAGTCTCAACTGAAGCAGAGAGAGAGAGAGAGAAAGAAAGAGGGAAAGCAGTTAAGCCACAGCACAAGAAAGTCTCAACTGAAACACTTCTCTAGTACTATCTTGGCTCTACTTTTATTTTCCTCTTATGCTATATAATCTGACCTTTTGGATTCTGCATTGGCTACCGCTGACCCTTTAAAAATCCCATGTTGCACACTAGCACCTCATTATTTCCCACTGTGTCACTGGTGCTGAGTGAACAAAGGCAGGCAGCCAGCAGCCAGAGGACCCTTCTGCCAGCATTCTGTCACACAGGATTCCCAGCAGCACGGTGAGGAGATATAGTAACATGAAATGAGGTGGAGGTTGATTGTGCTCCATATCTGTTGCTTCACAAAGTATCCAAGAGCCTTTTTTTTCAAGAGCAGGTGATTGTCATTTTATTATTTACTATTTACATACCAAGGTTTCCTGTGACATATTGTTAGATAGTGCTTGTGGTTTACCCCACACGTGAGTGTAAAGTAATGAGAACAAAGCATCTGCCAAGTGCTTGTCTCTCTCGTCATGCAGTGGCCTAAGAATACTTCCACTGCCCTGTGCCTCACTCATCTAAAGCACATGACACAGAAATGAACAATGCACAACTTTTTCCTTATGTCGTTGGTATGTGCCATCAAGTCAGATACAGCTTGTAGCTACCCTAGATAGGGCTGTCAAGGTAAGTGATATTGAAAGAGTGATTTTACCAGTTCCAAGCTGGCTGGATAGCTCAGTGATTCCAGTATCTGGCTGCAGAGCCAGAGGTTGGGAGTTCGATTCCCCCCACTGTGCCTCCTGGGAGCAGAGCCAGCCTGCGTGGCCTTGGGGGCAAGCTGCACAGTCCCAGGATGCGCGCAGAAGAAGGGAATGGCAAACCACTTCCATGTATTCTCTACCTGGAAAACCCTGAAAAGGGTTGCCATTAGTCAGAATTGACTTGATGGCAAAGGATGATGATGATGATATACCAGTTCCACATCCCCAGTAAGTTTCCATGGCTGAGTGGGGATTTGAACCCAGGTCTCCTGAATCCTAGTCTGTCACTACATCACACTGGGTATCCTTTTTTCTTATGGCTGTAGGGATTTGCAGAAGTAATTGCATGTCTGCATTTTGTATTTTTATGAAAGAAGGTACCACTCAATGTCCTCCTATCTATGCTTTGCTGTGCATTATAATTTCATACAAAGACATAATTTCATGAAGAATTCATACATAAGACAACCCAGTTATGGGGACAGGAGAAATGCAAAAATCTTTGCCTTCACTCATTAAACCTCATTCCCTCTTGTACATGTCGACCCACTTAATGCATACAAAGTATTTACAAAAAATTAGGACTTTCCCTATGGTAGTGCCTACCCAATGAGAGAATGCCCTCCCAACAAGATATATTTGGGACAGATTTTATTTCCATTTCAGGGCCACGTCAGAATTGGAATTATTGCACTTGCATATTAATTTTACATTTTAAATTAATTATTTCTCAGTTGAATAGGGTTTTTCCCCCTCTTATGTATAATACCTATTTAGGTCACATTTGACAGTTCTGCTCAACTAGCCGTGTGAGGCTTTGGGGCCAAGGGTGGGATGCCAAGGTTTTCATAACTGTGAATAACAGTATTCTTAACATTTTTAACTATGAACTGAATCACTTGTTGTTTGTTGGTGCTCACTCACAACTATATTACTGAAGGTTTTATGACCTTAACTTTAATTTATATTAGATGGCAAATAGAACCGAATGTCTGCAAACATAGTACTGGCCTGCTCCAAAAAAGTGATTGTTTTGTTTTGCTTCCAGCCTGCTGAGACCCAAGTTCCTTGGCAGAGTGAGATACAAAACGCTGAAGTCACAGATACAACCGTGCACACATGTGCGCGCACACAGTGACCTTTTGTAGACGTGGGGTCATGTACATTTTTTTCAAAATGTGAGGTGTCATGGCGAGAAGTACTTCCTTGTTTCAAGAAACAGTTTAGCACCACTGAATTAAGAGAACGAATATTCCAATAATTCAGAAGGGTGTAGGCAGCATGATCCAAAGAGGAATGCCTCAATTCCTGAGAAAGAAACGGTAGCAATTATTATCAAACCGAGACAGTGGGAAGGCAATAAAGGCTTTACCCTTTGCTCTCGTCCAGAAGATGTCCCAACGGATCCACCTTCTGCAGACCATTGCTTCCCATAGTAGGGCCAAGGTAGCCAGGGCCAACTGGCACTGTATTAGGAGGGCCCAAAGGTGGCCCAGCAGGGGAAAAAAAGGGGCCCGAGGAAGGGCCAGGGATAGTGGGAACAGGCTGAGGGGTCATGAATGTGGAGTGAAGAGGTGTTACTGTTCCACACGTGGACTGTGATACAGTAGGAAGAAGAGGGTTCACTGCAGAGCTGCAAGCAACAGAAGCTGGACTGGGATTCAAGAAGTCCAGATCTACTGGTTCATTCTGCAAGAGAAAGCAGGAAAACATTGGTTATCGCACAATGAGAAATATTTTGCTTCCACCTATCATGTTTCTCCATAATTACACTCTATGTGGCAAGATATATTCTAAAACGGAGTAAGATCCAGGTGTAAAGGCCGCAACATAGCATGAAAGGCTTCCATCCCAGGCTGTCTTTGACTCCTTTTGAGAACTTACAATTATTGCAAAGGATGGAAACAATCTATATTCAATTAGAAGGGCAGGAGGGTGTTTATCCTAGCATTCTTCAGACAGCATGTGCGAGAAAGTGACAGCCAGAGAAATGGCAGGCCATAAGCCTCTAGCACCCATAACCTATTAAACTCCTACATGAAAAGAAAGCTGGACAGTAAACTAAGAACAAGAGCAGTTAAAAAAAAATCAAATGTTTTTATCATTTTCTCTCTTTTTTATGTACTTTTAACAAGGGTAATCATTTCAAAGGTGCCATCTTTTCCTTACATGCGTAGATAGCACATACTCCAGGCAGGGTGGGTGTCTCACTCCAAAACCAAAGGCACCTTCAATCTTACTTGCAGTGCAATCCTGTACATGTATCCCCAAAACTACACACTGTTCAGTCAGCGCTACTTCTAGGCACATCTAGACTGCAGGCGTAACTGATTAGGCTAAAGCTTCTTCAAGTGACTAAGGAAAGAGTAAGTCAGCATTAGTGGATATCTGATTGGAGCTTATCATCCATTGTTGGCTGCCACATGTGTCACCCTGCATTTGTAGATGAGCCTATAATCATGAGAATGTACGAAGAAGAGGAGCCCTGCTGGATCAGATCAAAGGATCTTCTAGCATCCTTTAATGACCTACCAGAACTTTCCAGGAAGCCCATAACTAGAGGATAGTTATGGTATCAGTTTATTTTATTTTATTGCTTGATTGATTGGTTGGTTGTATTTATACCCCGCCTATCTAGTCATTTTGACCACTCTGGGCAGCTTACAACATAACAAATTCAAGAAAAATTTATAACAATTAATTAATTAAATGATTTTGCAATGGAAAAAATACAAAATAAATCAAATAGAGAAAAAAAGGAAAGAGGACAGGAATTAACTGGAAGGGAAGGCCTGTCTATACATCCACGTTTTTAGTTGGTTCTTAAAAGTACCCAGCGAGGGTGCAGCGCGAATCTCCAGAGGTAGGTTATTCCAGAGGCAAGGAGCCACCGCCGAGAAGGCCCGGTTTCTAGTTCTTTCCTTCCGGGCCTCCCTCGGCATCAGGCTCCTCAGCCTCACCACCTGGCTTGCGCAGGTGACACGGGTAGAGCTAGTTGGGAGTAAGCATTCCGCCAAGTATCGAGGTCCTAAACCGTTTTATAATTACCAACCCCTGACTCAGAGACATTCATAACTATACTGTCTTGAGTGTAAATGCCATCTCAGCAACATAAAGCAGAATACCTGGAACATGCTCCACTGGCTGCTCTCCGCTGTGTCTTTTGCTGCAGGGGGAGCTGGGTCGTTCAGACCTGAGTACATCAGACAATATATAAGAATGGAATGAATGAAAGTGCAAAACATTTTAGTAGAGGGAGGCATATGGAAATCTTCATGGAAATTGGTGTGAAATGCTTTAGTCTGAGATGATGGAGAGTTGAGGCTAAAGCCATGCTCCACCATTTATTTATCTATAAAATGCCTTTCTCCTCATAGGGGACCAAGGTGGATCACAGATTTAAAAACACTATGTTAATATCAATTTTTAAAAAAATTAAACATATATTAAGATCTTTAAAAACCAAGTTTAAAAACAATTCAAAAACATTTAAAAATCTGCAAGTTAAAAGCCAGCATTCCCGAGACAACCTAGTGCTTAAAAGCCTGCCTAAAGAAGGAGGCCTCTGCCTGACGACGACGGAAGGACCAGAGGGAGGGGCCCAACCTGGCTTCTCAAGGCAGCGCATTCCAAAGCCTGGAAACAACCACTGGGAGGGCCCTCTCTCGTGTCCCCACCAAATGAGCTTGGGAAGGTGGTGGGGCCAAGAAAAGGGCTTCCCCGGAACGTCTTAAAAGCTAAGAAGACTCATATGGGGTGATACAATTCTTGTCTTTGGCAAGTCACACTGCCTGGACCTGTTATCAAGTGGGCTGCTACTATGAACATGGAGGACCAGCTACACATGTGAATGAAATGAAACTACTTATCTCAGAGAAGGTACTGCTAATTTAAACTCAGCAAGTCTTTGGAAAATCTGGTAAAAGACACACATTAAGCCATAGGTTGGAAAAGTATAGTCTGAAGCTGCATGCAGCTCCTAAGGCTGTTTTTGTGGATCTCAGCCTTTCCCTGAGCACCACCCCAACATTTCCTAGTCCCTCACTGGGAAAAAAGGGGGGACTGCAGTTTCTGGTAGCTTCAGGAATGGCAACACACCTTTTAAGCAGTGCAGCATCTGCACTATTTCACCACTTTCTGTTCAATCCCCACCTGTTTTAATTTTTTTTTTCTTTTCATATGGGGATTGTCTGTGCAGTTCCTAGAGGAAAAAGATTAGCCCTCAGACTGACAAAAGTTGCCCACTGCTGCATTTAGCCAATCTGGACATTCACTTACTAATTTCTCACTGCTCTCTGGTTGTAGGCACAATGCACGTATGCAGACTACGTTTATTACACAAAAACAAGGAGTAATCCAGTTGCTTCATATCAGATATACTGTTCCTAGACTAATAAGATATGTTTGAAGAAGACCCAATCCATGCAAGCATGCAAATACTGTGCCATACAGGGAAACAGTCTCCTTAATTATTCCAGGTCACCAGTTTGCCTGATATAGTGGTGGTGGGGAGTTCCCTCACAATCAGTTGTTGAGGTGATGACCTTTTGGCTATCTCAACCTCCTTATATTATATCCAGGACAAGCAACGTCTGCACAAGCCACCTTTCATAAACTTGGTAATATAACCCAGGAAACTTTTTTATAAGGATTCAGCAGTGGAGACACACTGAAGCTAAAAGCTGGTGTGGCGCTGCAGGAGCAGCAGCCCCAGCCCGCCCACGATCTGCACATCCACGCCATACCCAGCTTACCTAAGCACAGAAGCTCCTCATCAAGCAAGGAGAGGGAATTGGCCGCGCTGGTCAAAGGAGCAGCCGTGGCTTCAGCTTGGCTGGATGAACGGCTCCGGGAGTGACAGGCTGTCTGAGGAGGAGGTGGGAGGATGGGGATTTCTGAGGAAGCGGGCGCCGGAGTTAGCGTGGGGCCTGGTGTCAATGTTGTAGGAGGCATTGGTGGCAGCAGCGTACTAGACACATCCAATCCCGCCAGATCGATGAGTGTACTGTTACTGGCAGAGTCACTTCCTGGAAAGAACAGGGGAAATGGAAAGAGATGCAACAAGCCAAAGCAGAAGTGTGTACATTAGGACAGGGCCAGTTATGCAATGAGGGTTGTAATCGAGGAGGGCCGTGACAGATCCAGTACCTGAACAGGGTCAAGCAGAAACCTTTCTGAACCCTACTGGCCAATGCCATTATCACCTAGTGGTCTCCTATCCCAATATGAAGGGAGCTTGATGCAATTCCCGTCTCTCCTAAGAAGAAAAGGGTGGTGTGTTAAGTCATCTTCTGGTTGCTGGTTTGTTGCTTTTTTGGAAAGGATTGGGACCAGACAAGGAGAGAAATGGACCTCTCTTTTTCCTGCTGTTCTACATGTGGATGCTTTGGTGAGAGCTCCTCATCAGAGACATCGACTGGCCAAGGTTGCAAATCTATACTACTGAGAATTTTTATTTCAATTTGAAGGGGAAGAAAGCTTATTTTTCTTTTTTTTTTAATCTTTTCTTCATATTTCTATACACATTTCTTTTCTTATAACATACTAATATTTAATATATTCATTTACTCTATAAATACCATGTTTGCCTGAAAATAAGACAGGGTCTTATATTAATTTTTGCTCAGAAAAACACATTAGGGCTTATTTTCAGGAGATGTTTAATTTCTTTTCATGTACAACAATCTAAATTTATTCAAATATAGTCAAGCCATCTGGTTGCTGCACAATGGTAGAGGGCAGGGTTTCACTTAACTGGGGCTTATTTTGGGCACAGGCCATATATTACGAGCATCCTGAAAAATCATGCTAGGGCTTATTTTCAGGTTAGGCCTTATTTTTGAGGAAACAGGGTATAAATAGATTTCCCATTTATAGTCTCTGGTAGAGAGGTACCAACATTCCAAGATCTCCCTCCATCTGTGTTAAGAAAGAAAAGAAAATATTTTGACTCTCTCAGGCAAATTTTACAAAAGAAAGGAATAAGATACCACTGGAAAATTCCATTTGTCTTGAAATTTTCACTATCTAAAGGCATCAAAACAATTCTGATGACAGACCATGCTAAGAAATTAGCTGAAGAACTGACGATTGGGAACACATTTGAAAAACCAATAAAAGAAAGGGGGGAAGCCCCAGAAAAAGAAGAGGAGAAGCTTGATCAAGCCACTGCTCTCTTATTAAAATGGATATGACAAAGATTCTATCCATAAATGTTAATGGCTTAAATTCCACATCTAAAACACTGAATCATTAAAGAAATAGAATGTATCTATAACCTGTATTCAAGAAACCCATGTCAAGAAAGAACATGAACAAATGTTAAACAACAAAAAAATGGGCAAAGTTTATATGTCTTTAGTCAATGAGAAAAAAAAAGGAGCAGAGAGAGAGAGAGAGAGAAGCGATCCATGCCTGGTACTAGAAGTCAATTACAAGACTCCAAAGGAAGACATTAAGATATTATCTTAAAAATAAGATCACCAGAAGACAGAATATATATATTAGCATCAATATATGCTCAAATACTGTAATGCTGAAAAGAAATTCTTTGAAAAGATTTTTAAAAAGATTTTTGAAAATTACTGGACTTTAAGGAAGAAACTATTATCATTGGGGATATAAATGGGGTGTTTGACACAAAAACGACAGATCATAAAAATACGAAGGAGGTAAACTACCTAACATTGTCAGCGAATACATGCAACTGTTGAAGTTAGAGGACGTGTGGAGAACCCTCAATCCTTCCTCAAGAGACTATACTTTCCTCTCAGATATGCACCAGGCAGTCAATAATTGATATGTGTAAGAAATCTAAGACATTACAGTGGTGCCTCGCTTAACGAGCGCACCGTACAACGACGAAATCGCATAGCGATCCCTTTTTTGGGATCGCTAATGCGATCGCTCAACATTTTTTAGATAGGGCAAAATTCGCTTTGCAAAGATCGGTAAGCTCGCAAAACGAACCCCGACGATCAGCTGCTCAGCGGCCAAAATGGCCACCGGAAGCCCGGAAATGGCCCAAAATGGCCGCGCGCAGCGTTTTTGCGCCCTCGTTAAGCGAGGGGAGGGCGCAAAAATGGCTGCCGGCCATTAAGAAGCACTGCTAAACGGTGAGTATTCGGCCCATTTGGAACGCATTAAACCAGGGGTCTCAAACTCAATTTACCTGGGAGCCGCTAGAGGCAGAGTCTGGGTGAGGCTGGGCCACAGCAGATTTTCCGCCGAGCAGAGCAAGAGCCCTAGGAAGCCGCCCAGGAGTTTCCTTAGCCGACAGACAGGTGGGCTGGCTGGCAGGCTGCAGTTCTGGATGGAGGGTGCAAGAGGTGCTGTCTTGGGAGAGAGCTGGCGACCGAGGCAAGGCTTTTTTTTACTCTTGACAGCAGAGGATGTGTGGGTGCTTTGAGTGGACAGGCAAGGCGAGGGCCCCAAACTATCATCTGGGGGGCCGCAAATGGCCCCCGGGCTGCATGTTTGAGACCCCTGCATTAAACCATGTTTAATGCGTTCCAATGGAATTCCCTGCCCAATTCAACGATGCTTCAGCATAGCGAAGGTTAATCTGGAACGGATTAACCTCGCTATGCGAGGCACCACTGTACTTACAAATTTGAAATCCATCAAAATTCAGCCAAAAACAATTGCCGATCATAATCCAATATTGACTACTTGACAAAGAGAAATGATACCAAAAAGACGAGGGAGAATGAATGGTAATCTTTCACTGCAAGAAGATGTACTAAAAGAATGCAAACAGGATATAAAAGGTTCCTTGACATTTAGTCCAGTCATGTCCAATTCTAGGGCGCGATGCTCATTCCCATTTCCAAGCCATAGAGCCAGCGTTTGTCCGAAGACAGTTTCTGTGGTCGCATGGCCAGTGCGACTAGACACGGAACGGCGTTACCTTCCCACCAACGTGGTACCTATTTATCTACTCGCATTTTTACATGCTTTCGAACTGCTAGGTTGGCAGGAGTTGGGACAAGCAACGGGAGCTCACTCCATCACGTGGATTCAATCTTACGACTGCTGGTTTTCTGACCTTGCAGCACAGAGGTTTCTGCGGTTTAACCTGCAGCACCACCACATCCCTCTAAACAGGATATAGAAGAGTTTTAAAGCTAAATATTGCAGAAGACCTCTCTATGGCAAATGTCTGGGAAGCAAGCAAAGCATACATAAGGGGGAAGCTGTTTTTCTCTAAGAAAAAGAGAGGAAAGATGGAACAAATAAAAAATGTAACTGAAAGGATTAGGACTTTAGATGGTCCATGTAAAAATCATTGAAAAAAACAGTACTAATTGAAATTAAACAATGAAGAAATAAATTAGATATGCTTCAAACTAAATTTATGCAGAAAAAAATAATTTTTCTAAAGCAAAACACTTTGAACACACAAACAAACCAGGAAGATATCTTGCATACATTCTATGAAAAGGGAATGAAAAAAATGATAACTGGAGAACAAAATAAAGTTTTTATTTTTTGCCCCCATGGTGCATTACTTTACATTTTCTTACATTGAAACACATTTGCCATTTTGCCGCCTGTTCTCCCAGTTTGGAGACATCCTTCTGGAGCTCTTCACTTCTGTTCTTCACCACCCGGAAAAGTTTCGCGCAATCTGCTAACTTGGCCACCTCACTGCTTATCCCTGTCTCCAAATCATTTATGAACAGGTTGAAAAGCACAGGTCCCAGGACAGATCCCTAGGGCACACCGCTCTTCACCTCTCTCCATTGTGAAAACTGCCCCTTGATACCAACTCTCCTTTCTGCTGGATTCTACCCCTTCTTTGACATAGATGGCCTCCCCACCTCCATGCCCCTCCCTATCCCTCCTATAGAGTTTACAGTGGACCCTTGACTTACAGACGGCTTGACTTACAGACTTTTTGAGTTACAGACTTCTCTGGCCGCAAAATTTAGGTTTGACTTGCAGACTGAGATTTGACTTACAGACCAGAAAAAAACCAAAATGGAACAAAAACGGCCTGTTACGGGATTAATCGGTTTTCAATGCACTGTAGGTCAATGGAGACTTGACCTACAGACTTTTTGACTTGAGAACCACCTTCCAATACAGATTAAGTTCTCAAGTCAAGACCCCACTGTATAGCCTGGGATTGCGGTATCCCACTGGTTCTCTGAATCCCACCAGGTTTCTGTTATGGCCACTATATCAATGTCATCCCTACCCACCAGCTCTTCCATCTTTGCTTGGACGCTTTGGGCATTTGCATACTGTAAATGCACCTGCGTACAGGGTCCCCCAAGAAGGGCTGCTTGTTTGTTTCTCCCCACCACCACCATAGCTTCTCGTTCTAGTGGACCAACTGTCACATCCCATCACACTCCCAGTCCTAATTCCTACACTGTCGTCACTTTGTGGTTCTCTACCATCTCCATCCTCATTCCACAGGGATAAGGAGTCCCAAACTGGACGCTGCTTGGTTCCTGTCTGCTTTCCCCCAGGATTCAGTTTAAAAGCTGCTCTGCCACCTTTATAATGTTATGTGCCAGCAGTCTGGTTACGTGTTTCTTCAAGTGAAGCCCGTCCCTCTTGTACAGGCACAGCTTGTCCCAAAAACGTTCCCCAGTGCCTAATGAATCTAAACCCCTCCCCCTGATACCGTCTCATCCACACGCTGAATCTATGTGTTTGCTTCTAGGATCAGACAAGACTATGAAATTCTAGAACTCAAAGAGGATGGAAAAGAGTTTAAATTGAAGAGCAATATATCCTCTAATTTTTAACCCCGCTGGGCGGGTGTCTCTGCCTCTCTCTTGTGCAACTTCGTCCCTGCATGTAGGCGTGACTCCGCCCCCCACCCCGCCCCCTCGCAGGGTTCTGTCGTGACCAGAACCAAAGGGGTAGAAAACTATCACTGTGCTGAAGAGGGAGAAAGCTGCATGGAGGGAGATAGAGTCACACACAGGCACAGCTTAGGAGAAACCTTTTTGAAGAGCTATGCTGATGATGTGGTTCTCACAATATTGCACTCCGAATCATCACTGCACTATATAATGAAACAAATAGAAAAGTTTGGATTGCTTTCAAGCGATAAAATTAACAGGGGAAAAAAATCAAAATCATTTTAAAATTCTTGACATGCCAAGAAGAAAATAAGATCAAAAAGATTTCTGGATGTGAGGTAACCACCTATAAATTATTGTTCCAGTTTGATACTGAGGAAGAACAAGTAAAATGTGTATGGTGAAATGGATGCAAAGTTTCAACAAAGAAATATCACTACAATGTTGGGAAAATCTACGAACAAAGGGCATACAATTTACAGCTTGTCAAGCTCTAAAAAGAAAATGGATGTTCTACCAGTGGTATATTACCCCAAAAGATATTGAAAAGATGGTAAAAAAAATACAAAGGGGCTCACTGGAAGCGTAAAATGACAGATGACACTTTCTACCATATGTTGTGGACCTGTATAAAGATGAAGAAATACTGGATAATGGTACATGCGGAAATAATAATTTTTTAAAAAAAATCAAATTCCCAATGCATCCAAAGACTGTGCTGCTGGGAATCTTACCAGATAATACTGTATAGAGAGAATCTCACAAGACCTATTTAGATATATGTTAATAGCTTCCAGAGTAACCTTTGCAAAGAAATGGAAGGCACAAGAGTGTCCAGCGATAGAGAGTTGGAAAGAAAAATTAGCTGGATATGCAATAATGGCAAAGTTAATGAGCTATGTAAATAAAAGACAATTCAAAGAATATCAGCAAAAATCAAAAGCCCATTATTTAAATCTTGCAAATAATTAAAAAGCCTGTCAAAACATAATATTGGATCTAATTTTCTAAGTTTAAAATGGTAGGGGAGGACACTTAGCATATTCTTAATCATGGTTTTCTTGTTGATGTTTGTCAGGGTATAGAATTTTATAGGCCTGAACCCATATATGTTTCATTAACGAGCTGCCATTATGTGCAGATGAGAGAAAAGCTGAATCATCCTAAGCTGATGCAATGAGGTGAAACCAGAAAGAGCCCAGGTGCAGAGATGAGGTCACCTGGAACCCGATTGGACTGAACACAGACAAGATTATGTATAAATATGGACTGTGTCTGTGAAATGTTCTCTTCTTCTGATGTGATTTTCTGCCACGCATGCTGTCGGACTGTGTGAAGACTTCTAGATGTGCTGTAGAGACCTGCCTGTATATAAGTGTACATATATGTAAATATAACCGTCAAAGAAGAACTGGTAAAATGTCTTCATTTACTCTGCGCCAGAAGCGTAACAATGTTGTTCTGCTTAGCTTTGCTTTTGTTTTTACTTCCCTACTACCAGACAGAAATGAAGAGTCAAAGTTTATGCCAGATTCAACTTGAATCCAAGATGCGTGATATTTTGCTAATTTCTGATTATACTTATGGATATTAGCATAACCAAAATAAGCATAGTAAACATATTAGAAAGCTGATATTATATTCTGTGCTTTCAAGCTGAGTAATCAGAGTAATATAAGCTGTAATAATATAATTAAGAAGCTGAAAACAAAAAAGGAAAAGCATTTTAACACTATAATTACAATACTGTGCAGTTTTGACTTATTTGTTCCTTCATTTTTGTTTGTTGTAATTGTTGTATGCAATCGTATGACATCTGAAAAGTTTTTAGTATCAAAATTCCCCTTACCCCTATTTTCATTTCTGTATTCCCTGTTCTTTTTGAAGTGACTCACCATCTGTGGTAGGAAGTACAGAAGCATCATCCACTTCACCATTGCTGACTTGGTTTTCAATAACTTTTTTATAGAAATTTATTACCCATGATAGGTTGTCACTTGCTAGCAGGATATCTCCTGTAAGAAACATATTACAAAATGTATTACCTTCACGTGCCAGAATTCCACCCTTTGCCCTGATATGCAATGTACATGTATACCCCTCTAGCTCTTTTCCATTAATTTCTACTGCCAAAGTTTAAGATCTGAACTCACAGTAATATTAATGTTGTGGTAATGAAAGGAACAATACTAACTGAACAACATGGATCAGCTGACCTGCTTTCGTCTGAGGGCATGTGATGCAGCCATCTCACTAAAGCTAAGCAAGTATTGGTCTGGTTAGTGCCTGGATGAGAAGCTGCTGAGAAACCAATGTACTCCACAGTCAGTTCCATGATGGAAGAATGAATGAAATCCTGTTGCTTAGCATATTAAGTTGCACTACAGTAGACGCACTGAATCAGTGGAGATTTGGTGAATCAATGCCTTTGTAGGTTTCAATTACTCAAATGGATCTACTCTAGCTGCGACTTACTTTAGCAGTGTAAATTGCAATAAAAAACAGGGATAGTAAATTGGGATAGGAATTTTTGGACTACCACATAGTGAAAACACTGACTGCATTATTTTTACAGTATGGCTAAGATTGGTGGAGACTGTTGTTCAACAACATCTGGAAGGCCACATTTCCCAGCTCTGCAGGTGGGAGGATGCAAGTGAAAGAGCAGTTTGTTTTTTTCAGAAGACATTTGTTCACTTGATTGGTGGAGACTGTTGTTCAACAACATCTGGAAGGCCACATTTCCCAGCTCTGCCGGTGGGAGGATGCAAGTGAAAGACCAGTTTTTTTCAGAAGACATTTGTTCACTAAGGTCAACATTAATTTTATCAAAATCTTGTGAACAATGAGTAGCTAGGAGAGGCACCTGAACTTTGGGTTTTGTTCACTTAATCTTCAGTATAACACAACATATGTGCTGAGGTAACAGGTGCACAAGGAAGGAGAACAAGCCCCTTTACTGTAAGTTACTGGTGCTCTCCTCATATAAAGGAGGATATCTTCGCTATTAACTGAAATTTTCCATATAATCTGGAATATTGTTTATAACAACCGAATAGCTCCTTTGTAAAGTACTTGGAGTACAGGTTCCATTCCAAAAGGAGACAGGCAGAAAAGTGTGCACTGGCTGGTATTCCTCCCTGTATATACTCTGGATTAAGGCCAAATATGGAACTGCAAGGGGACAGTGCAAATACAGACTTCACACTTCTTAATTTCAAGCTTTTGCCACAAATTCTGCCATTTGTCATTTCACACTGCTAATGGCTCAGAGCATTTGCAATTAAGAATGGTTTTTCAAGTCCACATGGTTCATACATAGTCAGTTAGAACCAGAACTGCCAGAGTAATTTAGTCCCCTGCAAAGGGGGGAAAAGACTCCTGCTTACCCAGACTGTTGTCGTTATCCTCAGTCTCACTGGCTAACTTGAATAATGTCCGTCTCTTGGTTTCACATCTATCATAGAGTTCCTGTAAGGGAAGGGGTGAGAGAAAGGAGCCAAGGTAGACATGGGAAAATCATCTTCATCATGCCTTGCCTACTCATTCACAGCCATGCATTTATTCAAGTGGGTATCATATCCTAAAGTGTCTGTGCTCTAAACAATGCTGATAGCTGTTTTTGCATAGAAAGCCGGAATTTAAAATTCCCTTGCTTTGTAAATTGGAAATCAAGATAAGGGGATGATTTAAAAAAAAAAGTACAGGGGAAAAAAATTGCACTCACCTTCATAAGCTCTTTATCAGCCTCTGAAGAGTCTTCTTTACTATAGTGGAGCAACATCTCATTCAACAGTTTAACATTGTTGTTGACCTCCTCCAAGGTATGCATGCGCTTTGTCACCTTCTGTACTCGTGCCTCATCCTTCAGGTTTTAAAGAAAAAGAAGCAATGTCAAGTCTTCTCTTGTTTCCTTCCACGGCAATCTAGAGCAAGCAACCCCACAAGGCCTAGAAGCCTATGTGTGTCTACAGTCAAGGTTTCTAGAATTCAAAGCATAACGTTTGTACATTCTAGTTTCAGAAAACTAGAACTTGGCTTTTGGACAACACTGTGCAAATGGGCAATTCTTAGTATATAATCATGACCCAATACTGTCTAGTTAATGGAATTTACTCCCATGGAAGTTTGCACAACAATGTTACTTGATCTCTATAGATCATCTCAAGGTAAAACTGAAACAACCTCATTTGAAATTTTTGAACAGGCACTGAAAAACTGGAGGGAGAAATTATACACACTCCGGTTGACAGTGTGTATCCAAGAAGCAAATGAAGATGAGCTTAAAATGGTTGGAAGAAGTAGGAAGATATATGAAATTAAGCCGGGATGACAAGACGCAAAGGAGAACAGAGTTCTTGTAACTTCAGCGGTTGTCTAGAAAAGGACGATGTTAGAGGGTACAACTAATCATGTAGCGATGAAAACAAACTGTATTTACCAAAATTCCCTCTTCTGGAAAACAATTCATCATACAGATGTTGTACGTTGTTTTGCATCTGGTCACCTTTAAGTAAAGAAGGTAAACCCTCTCCCACCAGATAATGCCTCTGAGTCTTTAAAGTAACCCACACATTTCCAAAGTCACTTTCAAGCTTCCCCCATTCCTTTTTCAAGATTTCAAAGCAAATACATGGAAGATGAGGGAAAAGGGACCTCTCTCATAAAGCAGATTTAGGTTGGTCTTAGCCCACTGATTTCATTGGCCTGGCTCTTCACCATATATGGTTGTTAACATGAGCAACAGCAAGTCACTCAAAAACAGAAAATAGAAGCTCATAGAGTCAATAAATCAATAAATCTAGAGCAGGGAAACTTGCTTGACTTAACTCATCGCCAAAAGCTATTAACAGCTGAAAACCTCAAAAAGTACATAATGTTGCTGTTGAAGGAAACTGGAATATTTCTTATACCCTGTTTCCCTGAAAATAAGCCCTAACCTGAAAATAAGCCCTAGTATGATTTTTCAAGATTCTCGTAATATAAGCCCTACCCCAAAAATAAACCCCAGTTAAGTGAAACCCCGCCTTCCACTATTGTGCAGCAACCAGAAGATGACATGACTGCTTTTAAATAAACGTAGATTGTTGTACTGCCTCCGGGAGGCAGTGGAAGACAGGAGGGCCTGATGTGCTCTGGTCCATGGGGTCACAAGAGTCGGACAAACAATAACAAAAGATGGTTGCACATGAAAAAGATAAAACATCCTCTGAAAATAAGCCCTAATATATTTTTGGAGCAAAAATTAATATAAGACCCTGTCTTATTTTTGGGGAAACATGGTAGACAGCAAAGTTATTCAAGGTTTCCTAGGATCATGCAACCTAGATAAGAGAGACAGTAAAATATATAGATTTAGAAAACATTCATCACCTTTATCAATGTACATTAAGTGCTCATCCTCACCTCTTTTACCATAGATTTTATAAGCTTGTTTGCCTCTTGTAAATCCTCTGGATTTTTGCTTTTTAAAAGTTTAGCTAAAAGCTGGGGAGAAAAAAGGGGGAAAAACTTTTTAAAGGTTTAGAACTGGCTGAACATTTCCTAATTACATTTGAGGAATTAGTACTTTATGCTTGTATTAACAACCTTGGGTTTCTTCTTGGAGCATCTGGCTCTCAGTCATAGACCTTTTTCCTAATGCTCTGATCTTAGCAGCTGTAACCACCACTTGTGGTGGGAGTTCAGGAAAAGAATTCAATTTTTGCTTTTTTTTCAGAAGCAAAAACCTTGGATACCACTGGAATGTATTAATGTAAGTTTGCTTAGGATACTGGCTCAGTGCTATGAAGTGAACAGTTCATTATCACCAGATACCCCAGAATCAGTACTAAGACTAGTAAGAATAGTGCTGGATTGTCACTATTCCTTTAGTATGATAAGTGTAGAGGTCTTAATCTGTGGCAATTACAGCCAAGACATAACAAGAAAAGTAGAGGACTGGTGAAAAGGTGAACTTTGCATGAATAAACCCAGTTTTAGAGTCTCAATTTGATGGCAACTCTACCCCACCCTCTCTTTTAACAACAACAACACTTGAGTACATGCACTGAAGTCATGTTGAAGAGCATGATCTGCATCTTGGAAGTTCTTGCCTGAAAACTTGCTTCTGCCCTGGACTCCTGTGTACCCTAATAAATTAGCTATCCACTCAGCTACTCATAATTATATACAGATAATACTGTAATACTAATTTGTTTAAACATTGCTACAGTGATGATTGAGACAACAAAAGTAAAGCATATACAAGTTCTAGCTTTGCTATCCTACTACAAGCATTACAATATATGCTTATTTTTATAATTGTAGCCTCCATTTTACCTTGGATTTCTCTTCATCATCAAACACTGGGTTTTTGGGCCGAGGTGGAGGAGAGGGAATGAGGGTTCTATCCACAGGAATAACAGGGTCAGAAAGAACAATCCCTGGAAACAGAAAGTAAAAATGCACCTGGTTCGTTACATCCAAGATGTCTGGATTTTCAGCTTCACAGGAAGTAACCTGAATGGAGGGGCTGGGATTCAGGACAAATTCATGCAAATAAGGCATCTGACTTTAACTAGCTCTACAATGTATTTCTGCTGCTTTTACCATGCTGCTGCTGAGGAAGCCGGGAAAGAAACATACAGTTTTATATACGACAAATGACCACACATTGTTCTGAATGTTGTCCCTCAGGTTAACCCCCCCCCATCTTCAAAAAAACTATGATGGACTTTTTCATCTGCAGGTGTACCCCTACTATGGTATGTTTTTCTATTTAATGCATGCTTCCTCCCATGACGTAGACTATTTTTGAGTCTGCAATTTGCCCTTGATTCTGTTACTTGCCTTATACTTTGATACTTTATTGCATATTTGTAATTACTCTATTAATGTGATTTGTATGACTGCCCAGAGTGTTCTGCACTACAGGGCGGTAAACAATCTGAAAATAAATGAGGAGGCGGGGCTTTGTGGCAGCAAGATTGGCCAGGTTTCAGGATGCTCCTGAAACTAACTGAGGCCACTCAGTTTTGACCCCTTCAAATTGGGGGGGGGGGGGGAGGACTTTTACTAGGAGAAGTGAAAGTCTGAAGCAACAGAATATGACTGAGAAGGGGGTGACCCGAGAGATCCCTGTATTGGCCTCTCTTTGAAGTCACAATCTGAAAAGCAGAAACTGAGAAGGTGGCCATCTTGGCACAGAGCTGTGAATGCCCCAAGACAGAGAGTGGAAAAGTACAGAAGGATTTTGGAAAAATAATCTTGACCAATGTATTCTCTGTGTTCTGGTGTAGTGTGTGGGATAGTTGAGTATTTGCAGCTGTGGGATCAGCTTTTTGTCCTTTTCAGGAGATTGGGTGACTATGGTGATCAGATGGGGGGTGACTGACACCCATCAATCACAGTGACAGATCATCTTCCCCCCTTATCACAATACACCCATAACAAAAAACACCATGATCACCATAATCATAAATAAATAAATGTTGTGACTTTACTATAATAAAAAGGATTAGAACTTAACAACAAACATAAATTAGCAGTCTAATTAGCAGAAATTAGTGTGGTAACCACCCACGTCACTCATGCTATTCTTATTCATGAGCTATTTTGCATGAACCTATGAGAGGGCTGGAGAGGCAGAGTCAGCAGCTATATGAGGCTTGGCGGGAGAAAGAGGAGTCAGATAGGTCTGGTTAGTCAGAGAGATAGATAGAGCTGATTAGGAAAGTAGGTAGAGAAGGTGGTAATGATATTGCAAGAGAAAAGAAGTATGTACTGAGAGAACTGTTGATGAATTGCTTATGTATAATGTGTATCTGAAGAACTTATGTTATTATTTAATCTGCTTCCCTTCAATAAATAAGTTCTGTTTCTGTTCACAAGACAAGGGTTCTGACAAACGTCATTTACATTGTCAATTGAAGTAATCCACTGGTTGCAGCAAGAGGAAAACGCGACGTGAGCCTTTGTGAGGAAAAACAAGCAAGGGCCACTAGGGCAAACACCACAAAGACTATATAGTAAATCTAAGGTTCTGTAATCTACAGATCTACTGTCTGTTAATCAACCTCCTGACTGAGTTAATTTCCTGCTGGGGGAGCTGAAGTTCCTACTTTTGGTGCCACAATACTACAATGCCCTATTTAACAACACAGAAGATGCCGAATGGCAGGAGAGGAAACTGTTCTTCACCTTGTCTTTTCAACATGTAGTAGGCATCTTTGATTTTGGATTCATCTGGCAAGGCCACCGTCCAGCTATACAGCAGCTCAATTATTTTGGTTTTGACCTTCTCGGACACTCTCTCCCCCAGGTACTGCAAAAACAACCAAGAAGGGAGAATATTTTTATTTCTCTGTCCTCAGATAAAGCAATCTGCTTTGAAGTATTAGAAAAGTGAATTCCAAAGGAAAATATACTAAAAATAGTTTATTTTCTGGTCTAAGACACAGTCTCTTAACACGCTAAAGCAACTACAGATAAATTCTTCAACATATTAAAGATGTCAATCACCATTTCCCAAAAATGTGTTCAGAAAATATGAGAGTTTTAACATTTAAGATTTGCATTCATTTTGTCTTCTCTAAACTTATTAAAAAACAAAGTTCAGAAATTATCTGTATTTGAACCATTGCTATCTGTCAATATAAATCCTATGCATATCTATTGTGAAGTTTCATGGAGTTCAGTAGGACTTACTTCCAGGTCAGAGTACATTTTCCTTCTTATCCTTATTTCAGTGTGTCTCCTTCCTGTAATTCCTAATTATACAGCACTCTTATCTGGCCAGCAAGTCTGACATGAGCTCCTCTGCCAACTATTCTAATTAATACCCTAGACAGAACAAGACACTTATTTAAAGTGTGAGTTTTTAAACATTCCTTTATAGCAGGTCTTAGCCCAGAGGAAGCAGCCCAAACAAAAATATATATTATCAAGAAAAACAAACTTCACACTAACCTTGGGAGATACAACTTTAATTAGTTCATTTAAAAAACGAAACTTCCCTACTTCATTATGAAACCTTCGGCCACAGTTTTTCATACAAGCTTCTAGTACCTGCAGTAAAACAAAGAAAGAAATATAAGCCATATCTAAAGGGTTGTAGGATCTTTTTTACCTCAATGGATTACTGAAACCTGTATCAACAAGTTGCTCATGAAACCTCCACGTGGGATCTGTGGTGCTGGGGCTCAATGGTGAGGGCTCCCAGAAAATCAGCCGAATACCATGGAAGTTCCCTCTGCTTTTCTAAACTCTTCCAGTGCGTTCATCTTTAATAAGAATTCTACTGCTTCTGTAGAAACACTGCCCATATGGATGAATCCATATCTAGGGGAGGGATATGGAGTAATTCTTGCACCATCTGGCTTCTGCCACAGAATATCATGCCTGCCTAGAAGACTGTATACAGAAACTCCACCACACACGGACAAACATAGTGCCATATGAATTCTTCCAACTCTGTGTGCATTATTCGAGCCTATGGACACTAGAGCCTAAGAACACAAACTCTATGGAAATATGTTCAGTTTGTGAATGCTGTATTTAATAGTTGACACCAGCTGCATAAGCACAATTTTTAGAATGCTGTATTTTTAATTGTATTTTAATTTTCTTTTTATCGCATTTAAATTGTTGTAAGCCACCCGAAAAACAGTCCCCTGGACTGCAAGGAGAGCAAACCTATCCATTCTGAAGGAAATCAACTCTGAGTGCTCACTGGAAGGAGAGATCCTGAAACTGAGGCTCCAATATGAAGACTTCCTGGAAAAGACCCTGATGTTGGGAAAGCATGAAGGCAAGAGGAGAAGGGGATGACAGAGGACAAGATGGTTTGACAGTGTCATTGAAGCTACCAACATGAATTTGACCCAACTCCAGGAGGCAGTGGAAGACAGGAGGACCTGGCATGCTCTGGTCCATGGAGTCACGAAGAGTCAGACACGACTTAACGACTAAACAATAACAAAGCCGCCCAGAGACCTTTGGGTACTGTGGGCGGCAACTAAGTTAAGTAAATAAATCCTCATATATACATGAGGCTGTTTATATAATACCATTACATTAGTCACTAGCTGCAAACTTCATGAATAACACCATGAAAGTTGGACATGTGACTTCTGTATTTCTTAGACTTCAGGCCCAGAAATTCTCTCAACCAGAATTTTGGGGGCTTTAGTCAAGAAATCAAACTCATCACAGGAGTTTCTAATTACTCATAGATGGGGAATAAAGGTTCTGTCAGCTATTTTGTTCCTGTAAAGAAAACAGTAATGACTGGGAGTGGATAAAGCTTCATGAGAGCTGCAAGGAATTAGGGAACTAGCAGTCTGTCTGTCTGTCTTTTTTTAATATGCTACCGTTCTCCCAATAGGGGACCCAAGGTAGTTCACAACAATTAAAATCATACAATAACAAATTAAAATTTAGGCTCTGTGCAGGGTATCTCTCAAAAAACTAAGATACTACTCCCTAATCCCTTGTGGCTCCCACAGAACTCAGCCCCTCCCATTCATTTCCTCTTTCTTCCTCACTAGAACATAATGGCTGAGGAGTCTTCACTCCCCACCTGTGAGTAACTGAAAACTCCTGTAAGGGCTTTCATTTTTTTAGAATTTAGGCTGAGGGAATTCTTGGTGAATTCTGGGGAGTGAAGTCCAAGAAATACAAAAGTACTGTGCATAGGGAAAGGCTGGACAGAGAAGATATATGTATCGGAAAATGCGATCAATTTCTCTGAGGGGATTTCCTACACATAAATAAGGCATAACAGAATATCACTGGTTTTTTTAACAATATAGCCCATGTTGACATTAACAGAACTCTTTAGTACACTGCATCCCAAGCCACATGTATTTTACATCCAAAGAAACTGACTTCTTTTCTATTAACAGAAGGAAAAAAATTAAATCACAAATATATATACAATTTATTCAGATTTGAGTTTCAGTCGTATTAGGAACATTTCAGCATGGATGGGAATGACAGATCAGGGAAAAGGAAAGACATCACAGGCTGAGGTGGAGACAAAGTTGTGGAAGAGAATGCAATAATGTATGGGCAATAGCCAGAAAAAGTTGCCCTTTCTTCTGACCACTGCAAACTGTGTGCACTAAAGTGAATGCAGCTCAGTCCTATTCATGCTTATTTTGAAGTAAGTCCACTATGTTCCATGGAGCTCACCAAAAAGAGAAATTCAAAGCTATGCAATTTAGAAAAGTATAGGTACATAAAACATTACTTTGAAATAATCATGTGAAACTCTTTTGTAAAAACAGATGATTCACAAATACCACACTCAAATACCAAGCCTAGGAATTATGGGACCAGACAATCCCTTTGTAGAACATTCTATGCTCTTTTCTTCACTCACACACCTGGAAGGAATCAAAAGGCCATCTTTTCTAAATCTTGTCTTTCTGGCCCCTAAGTGCCTAAAAACTTTAAACTACCTTCTTTTATTGTCCTATGGCTTACTGGCTGAAGGCATCAATCTGCATGTGTAAACACAGAATTTAAAAACAGAGATTAGGAACACCTACTGTTAAAGCCTGGACTGCCTCCCATTCCTGCGGTGACTGGATTTTATGGGCCAGCAATCTCACGGCTATCTGTGGACTATAATAAATAGACAATTGACCTAGATAGGTAGAGGCATTTACACACATGACACTTCATAGATAATCAGAGGACAGGACTATCCCTGTCTCAAAAGATCTACAATCTCTAAAAATCGAAATAAGATAAGCCAGAGAGAAAGAGGCAGGAATTCAGAGGGAGAATATCAATTGCTGTGGGTAGATTGAAGTTGGGTTTCAGTACTAAAGGTTACTGCCCAAGGTTTCATTGCTACAGTTGTCATGATATCTGCAGCAGTCATATTTCCAAGTTTTTTTCTGCAAAGAGTTTAAGAACTGACTTCAAAAAACAGTCTGAAAGCTGAAACTTCTAAGATACTGTGAGATCACTGTGTGATGCAAAATAATCTGTTGTCAGCTACCCATCTCTGTATAAGACTTTATGAAATAAGAATAAGTCATAAAAAAGGATGCAATAAAGCGAAACAACAAATAGCTTGTCTATAGCCTCAAATCCCTTTTATCAGCATTAACTGTTGTTTTCAACAGTGTTCTAGAGTATTAATTTGAGAACTGGCACGCTCCTAGGGATACCCTCCTAATCTTACTGGGCAAGTCTTATGCTTCAGGAGGGTTTCTTATGAAAATGTAAAAATGGGCTGAAATTTAGAAGTAAGTTGCAGTTAGAGTAGGCCAATTGAATTAGTGGAGCTTACAGAGAAGTTGACACACAAATCTCCACTGATTCAATAAGCCTAATCTAGTTGCAATTTATTACTGTACTGGATTTCAGCCAGTTTTAGAAACATAAATCCCTGAATGAATATTAGAAATTAAGATCATTGCAACAATGTCTATTTTCAGAATGGAAATCTGAAAAAGTAAGCCGACATTCTTCAAAACCCAAAAGCAGTCAGAATACATAAAATAAAAAAAAAGTTGTTGTAGGTTTTTTGGGCTCTTTGGCCGTGTTCTGGAGGTTTTTCTTCCTAACGTTTCGCCAGTCTTTGTGGCCGGCATCTTCAGAGGACAGGAGTTAGAACTCTGTGTCCAAACAGCCTGAAAAACGTACAACAACCTTCAGATACCGGCCGTGAAAGCCTTTGAGAATACAAATAAATTAAGGTTTATTTAGATACTGCTTAATAAAATCTGCTCCTGGTCTTAGCTCTACATTTCTCTGTTAAAGTCAATCAAAATAGTCTAATATAAAATAGTATATTCAGAACTTGCAATATCATGATCTAGCAAAATAAAGGTACTGTATATCAAATAATCATATTTTGAACAGTTACATGAAACACATTAAAATTAAGCATCAAAAATGTGTTCATTTTAATTTTGATTTGAATGCTTCATTTTAATGTTTTAATACAACTTTGGGATACAGCTTGAATAATTTTGAACACACACCCTTCAAGTTCTTTGTTGATCTGATCACAGAAGCCAATGATATACTCCCAGTCTTCTTGTCTATTCAGAGGGTTGGTGGCTTTATCTGATGAAAAGAAACAGCAAGTATATTAATCAACCATGAAAACAAAGGGTCTCTTGTCCCTTCCAGACAGAGTATGGGTTGATCATTAACATATTGCCATCTTTCCCCCTTCATGCCAAACTTTGGAAAACAAAATGCCTCTCCAGCTTGAACCTACCAGGGTCTAAATGACACTCCTTTACTTTAGCACAACTTAAATCAGTTTAAGGTTCAGTTGCCCAGCATGACACTGGCACAAAAACAGTTCAACATGGAGAACATATTATAAAAGTTACTCTGAAAAAATTAAGCAGTCATTCAATCTCATATTTATTATGTTGCCCAAAGCTTAAGAATTTCTCAAATAATGACTGGTCAGACACAATTTTATACCACTGAAAAGCAAAACATAAACAGGTCCATACACTCCTCATTGCGTCTAACAATGTTTGTTACATTCCAAGGACGAACATTACAGTTTGTAACTCTTACTAATCAAGGTGTAAACCAGCCAAAGTTAAGCACATTGGTTTCACTGATTTCAATGAAGTTCAAAGAGTACTTTGTGTTACTGGTTCACATCCAAATTCTTCTATAGACATCCATATTTTCATGTACTAAGTGAGAAATGCTGATGTTTAGGAAGGTTCCTGGCAGACTAAATCAATTCTTCCCTAAAGTCTTCTTGATGCTCCAGACTAGAGATGGGGGTTTCATGTACAAATATGAATATCCCCGCACAGGTGACGTTGACAAGGGTGCAGCCTCATGAGGCTGGACAGTCCACTCACCGATCTGTCATGGATGCAGATGGCACAATTCTACCAATGGCTCCGCAGCACATGATCTGCTCACCACTCCTGGCAGGAGGTGGGAGGACAAGCCTTGCTGCAAGATTGAAGAGTGGCGAGCAGATTGCACGCTGTGGAGACATTGGTAGAATCGCACCATCCACATCTGCGGAGGATCAGTGAGTGGACCATCTGGCCCCACGGGGCTGGACTCTTGTTAATGTTACCTGTGCAGGGATATTCGTACAGTGGACCTTCGACTTACAGACGGCTCCACTTACAGACTTTTCGAGTTACAGACTTCTCTGGCAGCAAAATTTAGGTTCGACTTGCAGCCGGAGAATCGACCTATAGACCAGGAGAAAAAAACCAAATGGAACAAAACCATCCGGTTACAGATTAATCGGTTTTCAATGCATTGTAAGTCAATGGAGCCTCAACCTACAGACTTTTTGACCTGCAGCCACCGTTCCAATATGGATTACCGGTAATTCCGTAAGTCGAGGGTCCACTGTATAAGAATACCCCCATCTCTACTCCAGACTAACAACGGCTCCTTTTGCAGATGAAGCAACAGTAACTTTTGCATGTATTTATATGGTCAGAAAGGTTTAAGACAAGCTATTTCCTTTTTGCCTTTTAAAATATCCTTGAGTTTGGAGTCTCTATCTTGTGGGTCTGACTAGATGGGATTATACTTAAGGGCTTGGCTGTAAATGATAAAAGGTTTAAGACAAGCTATTTCCTTTTTGCTTTTTAAAATATCCTTGAGTTTGAAGTCTCTATCTTGTGGGTCTGACTAGATGCGATTATATTTAAGGGCTTGGCTGTAAATGATAATTTTTGTGGTGTGCTCAGGATGGAAGCTGGAGGCATGCAAGTATGTATATCAATCAATAGGTTTTCGGTACAGTGTGGTGCTAAGATATCCATGTTGTAGCTTCACAGTAGCGTACAAAAATGCACCTTTTTGTTGTTGTTGTTCAGGCTAAGGTTGATGTTAGGATGAAAGCTATAGAAATCCTGTTGGATTCCTTTCTGTGGAATCCAGACATTAAAAAAATGTCATCAAGTACCTCAAGCAGAAGAATAACTTTTGGGTACAATAGTTAAGAAAGCATTGTTCCAGGTCAGCCATGAATATATCTGCCTATTGTGGAGCCGTGGTAGTACCCATGGCAGTTCCATTGATCTGGATATAGGTTTTATTTTCAAAGGTGAAATAGTTATGTGTGAGCAAAGTTGCAGAAGGTGGTGACTAAACTAAGTGGGCTTTGTCCTCATTTTGAATGTATTCTTGACAGCTTGTAGTCCTTGTCTGTGTTGGATGTTAGTGCTGAGAGAGTCTATATCCATTGTGGCTAAAATGGTGTTATCAGGTAGGCTATGAGTAGGTTACAGTTTCCTTAGAAAGTCTGTCATGTCACTTATGTAGTAGCTAGGTGAGTTGGGGACATATGGTTTGAGAGTAGAAGCCCAAGTATCCAGACACTCTCAACAGCGATAGTATTAATACTTGATATAATGGTCCTGCCATTGCTCTGTTTGTGTATTTTTTTATAGTGAGTAGAAGGTGACTGGTTGAGGTCTGTGTGGTGTGTTAGGATCTTTTCACATATATTTTCAGGAAAATTTTTCATAAGGCTTTGTAATTTGTTTTTATATTTGGCATCGAGTCTGTAGTTAGGAGCTGATAAAATTTACAGTTGGAACACTTATTTCTCAGCTCCCTGTATATACTTGTCAATGACAACCACAGTTCCACCATTATTGCTTCTTTGATTACAAAGTTGGGATTATTTTTGAGGTTGTATATATGGCATCACTCTCTGTCCAACTGAGACTGTATGGTAAATCATGTGTCTTGCTGATTGTCTCAGCATAGGTTTCATGGTGAAAGTGCTCAGTATAAGAGCCCAATATATAGAACATCATTGTCATGTATTTATTTATTAAAATTATTTATATACAACCTTTCTCCCCATAGGGGACCAAAGATGACTCACAACAGATAAAACAACAGATTTTTTTAAAGAACACTATGTGGATCAACAAAGTCCACTGAGCCATGCGGCCATGTATAAATGATTGTCATATACGGTACTCTTACTCTAAGAAAGTGTAACTGATCTTCAAAAGCTAATATTAAAATATAGCAGTGAGTCTTTAAGGTGCTACAATATTTTTGTCTCCTTTTTAAATTTGTTTGTTGGTTTCTTGTCTGATATGCTTGCAGAGACTAACATGGCTACCACTTCAAAAACTACACTAAGCAAAAAGATTTCAGCCAATGTGCAGCTAAAGTGTGGAACTTGCTATTATGTCATGATGTTCGCAAACATGGATAGCTATAAATTGAAAGAGGATGATTATCAATGGCTACATGAAATGTATATGTTACTTGGCCTCTAGAATAAAGGATCTCGTTTGTCAATCCCAGTCACTGATGCAATAGTGGTGACAGAAGATACAGCCCCCATGTCTAACTTATGGTCTCTGCAAAGGCCATGTTGATGGACTAGAAAGCCCTTTAGTCTAACCAGGGACAGATCTCCTTATGAATATTGAACAAGACAGGCATGGATCTTGGCCTGTATACAACTAATGTTAATAAAGCTGAATCATAGAGACACATACTGAAGGTAATATACAACCAATATGAGTTACCATATTGGTTCCAAAACCATCCAAGTTAGCAGCTACCACTACATCTTGGGGCAGCATATTCTAAATATCAACTATGTGCTGTATGAAGAAGTGCTTCTTATATGTATTCAGCTTTACTGGATAACTCTGGGTTCTAGTATCAAATGGAATTGATGGGAGTTGTGCTGTCTTAATGTATATGGAGTCACATGTGGAGACAGAAAATCCTTCAAAGCACAAAAGTCTTCAGAGGTCAAAATCCAGACTCTGTACTGAGCCTGTGACTGGACAGGGAGGCTGCATAACTGTTGATGAAGCATCCAGTTACTCTCATTGTTATCTTGAACTGCAGTTTCTTGAACATCACCAAAGGCAGTTCCACATAAAGCACATTGCCACTGTCCAGAAGTGTAAACCTTTGATTCTTTACAGGTTTTGGACTATAACTTTGGCAGTCCTTTACCACTGAACATGCGGAATGGGTTTCTGTGAAATGAAGTTCAGAATACCTGGAGCTTCAAAGATTTCCCACCATGATCTACAATAACTGACAGTTGTTCGCCAGGGTTTCAGAAAAGAGTCTTTGACATCTCTTCTGGAGATACTGGGATATGAGATCCGCTGCACACATGCTACACCAATGACCTACCATCTTTTTCACCTAGTCTGGGAATGCTCTGACTCTTAAAATGTCTTAATGTTCTAAATGGAGACATATAAACAGAGAGAAACAGAGAAATTTTTGGAGAAACATGGTTTGAAACTTGCAAGAATTATAAAAGATTCATGATGAAATGTTACAGTAAACTTTTCATGAATACTGTGGTGCCTCGCATAGCGATCGCTCCATTTAGCGACGAAATTGCTTTGCGATGGACTTTTTGCAATCACAAAAGCGATCGCTTTGCGATGTTCCCTATGGGATATTTTTGCTTTGCGATGATCGCAGGGAAGCGATCATCGCAAAGCCATTTTCGCACAGCTTATCGGCAGTTTCAAAATGGCCACCGGGAAAAAACATGGCCGCCTGCTGTTTTTTGGGAAGGATTCCTCGCTTTAGAGGCACCGAAAATGGCGGTGCTATGGAGGATCTTCGCTCAACGGTGAGTTTTAAGCCCATAGGAACACATTAATCGCGTTTTAATGCGTTTCTATGAGCTTTTTAATTTCGCTTTGCGATGAAATCGCTTAGCAGCGATTTTTTCTGAATGAATTAACATCGCTAAGCGAGGCACCACTGTATGTCACTAACTAGAGAATATGTCACTAATTTAAAAAAAAAACCCTATCAGAACATTTAGGAAAATCTAAACCTGAAATTCCCTATTCCTATATTCCTATAGCCAAGGAAAGGCTGCCATGAATACATGTGATCAAATGGCCTTTCCTTCAAACACAGAAAACATGACTAAGAGAGAACCAATGCCATTATTTTTATGCCTGCACAATTGCACATTTCCTCTGAATCACAGAAAGTCCACAGTGGAAAGGGGGCTACAATGACATTGTTTAAGAAAACTGACTGGCAATTGTGTCATTTTGAGCCACAAAACAAATCCAAAAATCTGTACAAGCTATACTTTC